TTAGTCGCACTTGTTTTCCACTTTGTGCTCTCATTTTTCCCTTCTCATCTCGGATTCAGATTTGTTTCATAGTTTTTTAAAATTTCCCTAGCCAAGATCTCTTGTCTAGATCCGCTCCTTTACTTTTTTGCCAACTTTCCTGTCTAGACTTTCGCGGGTAATTAAAAATAGCTTGTATCTATCAGTTCAATCAATGAAAATTGGCAAATACAGCCAAGAGAAAAAACCTTGTGAACTAGTCCTACTTGAAGTTTTCGTTTTTTCATCTCCCTCCGATCCTTCCCACTCATTCCGGCTTCTCACCTCTCGCCCGATCGGCAAGGTGCTCTGTTTGCCCAACTGATTAACAGTGCTCTTTCTCTCGCCTTCTTACTGCTACCAGATGACACCCGCGAGCGAAAAACGGCAACGTTTACCAACTTGTTATAGTAGTGACCGTTTAATCCTGGGACTTCTGTAGACTACACCAGAAACCAAATCCCGTTTGACACGATTCACTTTCTCCGTTTTTCACACTTAGACCCGGGGTCACAAGTACGGTGGTGCGAGAGTGTGTTTATCTTGGCTAAATCATAAGAGAATTGACCGTCACTCGATCTGGTCGTATCGGGATTCTTTTTGACAGTGATTGAACGTTTTGTCTTTTAGACACACTCTCATCTGAGAAATTACAACCAACTGCCGTAAGCGTCACAATTTTTTGTTGAAATGAAATGTTATTTTTTGGGCATTGAGATTCAAAATGAAGATTTATCTGTTTGGTCTCTTTTGGTCTATTTTGAAAATTTCGAGGATTTCAAAAAAAAAATGAAAAAGTTATTGCATTTTGTATTTTTTCGAATATAAGCCCACACTGTTTTCTCCCCTTAAGCTCAATTGCTTTGGTTAACTCAAAAAAATTTCTAAAATGTATCAGCCAATGCAATGCTGCTAATTTTACAAAAATCATTTGTCGGCTAACATTTTTTTTAAATATTTTCATAGGAAACCGAGATAATCAAGCCCAGATTGCATGTATAGGATCTTATATTATTACAGCGCTTATGGTATTCTTATCTCAAACACTGAAATTCCAAACAAACATTTACATTGGAAAATAAAATATTGTCATTTTGAAAGATCACTAATCTGAAACCCAAAAAATAATTGAATTTACTTCTCTAATGTTTCACTGAATTGAAGAACTCAAAACTATAATTTAGTCCCTATGGGAGTATGCAAACTGGAAACTTTCTAATTTCGAGTTTTTCATTCTTAGAACAGTTGAAAAAAAACTAAAACCGTTTCTGGAATGTTTTGTTTCTACTGGATCCTTCCCGTTCAAGTTTATGATTTTCTTGAAGCGAACTGTTACTTGGCTTTCCATTGATATCTAAATTCGATTTTTACAAAAAGTTCCTTTTGAAACTTCTAGAATACAGTTCTCAGATTGTTCTGGATCATGTGTTCGGAACATCAAAAATCAGTGATGAACTTTTTCCCTTCAAAATTCATCAAATGGTTATCATAAAATTCCATATGGTAATTAGTCTCTATAAAAGCCAAAACACCCCCACATAAACAACATTTGGAAGCTGATATCAGTTGACATTCGCTCCACTTCTCTTTTCAAACCCTTCATTTTAGCGCAGGAAAATTAGGATGTAAGTTTTTTTATCTGTTCTAGTTATTTCCAGATGTCAGGTTAACTCAAACTACACTGATTGACGATGAGCTTACAAGATTAGCTTCAGATTTTTTGGAGATAATCTGCATTCAGTGATTAAAATTTGTTTTGACCCCTCCTGGAAGAATCTACGTAATAGATGAACGGTTCTGAGATTCATACCAAGTTCCGTTCTGGCGTTTTAGGTTGTGACTTCTCCCTGTACAATAACTAAGTAACATTGGCGCCTACTGTGACTCAACCAAGCTTTGACCTAAATTTCTTTTTTCTTTCCTTTTTCCTCCGTTCAATTGCCTCATTTCGCTTTCACGTCAATCTTTTTTTCCGTCTTTGAAGAGTGTAGACGACCTCCAATTGCGGGTTTTATGGTTTCATGCACCATGAATTTACCAAGCTCTTTTAGTCTTGAGATGAATTCTCGCTAGAGCTTCCGAGAACATATTCTCCTCATTTCCAAATTTAGTTGAACCCTAAAGGCCGTAGGAAAATAATATTGAAAAATTGAAGAAAAGTAAAAAAAAGAAGCCTTGCGAAACCCTATTTAGCTGTTTTGCTCCCTATTGGGACGACCACCCGGTCTTTATTTCTTGAATATTTTTGAAAAACCATGTTCTTCTTTTTCTTAATTTTTTGATTCTCAAAAGTCAGAGATCAAATAAAAGTATAGTCGAAGGAAATCTATCTAGACAGGAGATTCGATTATCATCAAGATTCCAATTATGGATTACTGTAGATTTGAGAGCTGGAATAGTATAAAATGTGATGCTCACTTGCCAGTCCCTGGGAATTAATAGAACTTAACTATAAAAAAGTTTTCAGTAGAGGATACCCACGTGTACTAAGCACGTGACAGTACCATAGTCATAAACAACTCAGAGTGGCCATTTTTAAAAATTCGATTTTACTAAGATCGTCTATTTACCAGTTTCTTTATTAAAAATTCTCGAGTACGATCATAAAGATTTTCATATTTTGTTCACTTTGTGTTTTTTGAAAAGATGACATTTTCACTTCACCTCCTGGAAAAGCTCAAGACTCGTTGTCATGCCTTCGGTGGGATGAATGGGGGGAAAAAGAAGAGAAGAAGCCACTCACTCCCGTTTTTTTGTTTTTTCTCCCTTTTCCGCGGATTCTCAGTTTTAATCTCCGCAACACCATTCTCATTATCGAAATTCTGTGTAGTTTTATCCATTCTTTCATGTACAATCACATGTTCTTTCTCACGGTTTGATATAAAGAAAAGAGTGGAAAATAATATAGAATATCACACCTAATTTTTTTTGGTTGTTGGCGCGTTCTTTGGACTTAAATTTCAAACTTTCAGCTACTATAAAAGCTATACATTAAGATATACTGAAACATAATTTTCAGTTTATTTTCGGACATTTTAACCATTTTCAGGAGTCTGATGCTCGTCTGTCAAGTAACCGATCACTTTTAAATTTTCGGAGGGTGTAAAACAGATTGAAAACTTCGCACTCACAGATTTTTTTCTGAAAATCCTTTGTCTCCATTTCTTTGACAATTTCAGAAAGACACCTGGTTTTTCGCATTTTTAGTGCTAAAACGAGCAAAAAATGCCTTTCAAGAATCGGTACATAGCTGAAAAGCTAGGAACTTTCCAGTTTTCAATTTAGGTCTGTTTTACACCCTGCAAAATTTTCATAATCGAAACTGGACAGCCGTGCTCCAGACTCATGATAATGGTCCGCAATGACCAAAAATTAACTGATAAATACATTTTCGCATATCTTATTGACCGATACTGTCTATACAAATGTATAAATCTAATCAAAGTCTAGAAAATTGCTAAAAATTTCTTATGAAAAAAACTGAAAAAAAAGTTTTGTATGATCTGAAACGGGCTTTCACGAACATAATTAGCCTTTGTTCACCTTTATTTATGTAATGTGAATCTTTTGTTTAAAAATACCCCAACACCGAAAATCCCAATAAGCATAAACTCCACTTTTCGAAAAAAAAACTTCATCCTGAAGCTTCTCTCAAGATCCCCTGTAGTCAAGGTAATCGGAGACGCTCTACATATTGAAGGGGCCCTTTGCTCGTTTCGCGCATTGTTTCAAAATATGTTTTCTCCTTTTTTTCCCGTTTTTTGTGAGTCAGTGGAGAAAATACAATGCGTAAAGCCAAGACGCTTATTTCCGTATTTTAACTTTGCCCTGTTTTATCATAAATGAATCATAAATAAGAAAAAAAGTTTTAAAAATCATCTACAGTACCAATGAACTCCAGAAGATTCCATGTGTCAATGTTTTAATACCTGATGTTCTGCTAATTTTATCACACATTTACCCAATGTGACGAGCGAAACAATAGACTAATTTGGACAACCCGTTATTTGATTTCGTTTTTGATTTTTACGAGTTTCCCTCACTGATAAGCAGCACACAAGGAAAATTACCCAGCTCGCTGCTAAAAATGTCTTACATCAGTCAGCTTCGTATTTTGTTAGATAAAGGTTGAAAACAGTTTATGAAACAAACAATCGGGGAAGTTAGAAATCAAACATTGTTCAATTTATTACTGGTGCTTCCTGACTCCTCTCCTTTCTTGGAAACTAAATTTGAGATTTTATGTATTCCTGCTTACAGTACTAGACCCAAAATTATTTCTACAATCTATAGAAATATTCTTTAATTTTTTAGTTAACACTTTTTTCTCAAAATTCATTCAACAGAGACTAAGAAACTGCCAGGACTCTGTAATTAGTGCGTTTCTGGAAATTGTAGAACTTGATTTGTTACGAACTGCATACCTTTTTAGAATTTGTTTATACCAAAAAGTTACGAAAAATGAGGCTCCACTTTTTAGTGAACCTGAACGTTTTCAGCCTTATCCAAAAAAATCTACTCTATTTTTAAGCTTCGAAGTTTAGTGATTTTTTTTCTACGGTAAATTGGAAAGCCTGGACACTTTATATCAGAACACATAAAAATCACAAAATCGTAGTGATATTGTAGTTTTCAAAAAATCACAAAACTTTTTGCTAACATGAAAAAATCACCAAACAAACAAAAAACTTACGCGAACTCTTCTAGAACATTTACCTTAGTACAGACCACACTCACAGATTTCGGAGTCCAGCGATGAGTCAGGGCACGTGTGACCATTTCGCTCCATCCCACTTTCTTTCTCTAATTCTTCCATGTTTCTTGCTCTTTCTCCCGCTCTAACCTCCCGGTCAACAATTCAGTAGTTTCATTGAACTGTGCTTGTGTTCGAAAGAGGCGGGGCTCAGTGCCCTTCCCCTCCCCCCATTGCCAAGACTGTATTTGAAAATCATTGCTCCTCGTTTTCAGTCGATGCACAAGCAATGAACATACTACTCATTTTTTGCTTGCTGTTTGGGTCTATATTTCACCATGGCCACGCGGGATGCATCATGCGTGGATTGTGCCAGAAGCACACTGACGACGCCTACGGGCCATGTGTAACCAATGGCACCAATGTAGAGCCGATCCTATTCGATAAACAACATCCTGCTTATGAGAAAATGATGGAATTCTGCCCGCATATGATGGAAGGTAAGAACTAGGGTATATTCCAAAATTTGGGAAATGTATTTTTCATGAGAAACTAGTTACACATATTCAATGTTTATTTTCTTCTGTGTGTCTGTGATTTGTAGCAACCGAACAAGGGAAGTGCAAATAATCCAGAAACTTTTTGCGTGGCTACAAAATATCCGTAGCCTATCTATGAGTCATGAATTTTCGGCTATTAGTGTAACGGTGAAGTGTAATTACAGGTGACAACAAACTCTGCTGCACACCATCGCAAGCGGAAGGTTTGACTAAGCAAATTGCTCAAGCCCGACATATTCTGGGTCGGTGTCCTTCGTGTTTTGACAATTTCGCCAAGTTATGGTGCGAGTTCACTTGCAGTCCGAATCAACAGGATTTTGTTTCGGTGAGTTTCCTTAAAAATTTTTTAAAGTTCAAACGTTGAGTTTTTGCCCTTTTTCCTCTCTTTTTTGACCAGGTCATTTTCTTTCGCAACATGAGCTGATTATTATATGTTGTAGAATTAGAAAAGAAACGCATATTATACCAATGGGCTGATAAGAAAAAATTTAACTATGCTTTAGTGAGTGAGTCAGTTATAGAACGACTCATACTTCGATAACGTCATCTTATATAAAAAATTTCGGGAAAATTTCCAGATTTCCGAGATGAAGCCCATTGAAAAGAAAGAGGGATTCGAATCTGAATACCAACCCGCTGAGGCCTATGTGAACACTGTTGAGTACAGACTTTCCACGGAGTTTGCTGAAGGAATGTTCGCTTCTTGTAAGGATGTCACTTTCGGTGGACAGCCAGCGCTTCGTGTGATGTGCATCTCCACTCCATGTACTCTCACAAACTGGTTGGACTTCATAGGAACTCAGAATCTCGACTTGAGCATTCCAATCAACACAAACTTCATCTTGTATGATCCAGCTAAGGTAGAGAGCAACGTGTATGTATCAAAGTATCAAATATTTCCAATGTTTAGACTCCACAATCCGATCGCTCCATCTTCATGAATGTCAACTTTACTGGGTGCGACCAATCGGCTCGACCTGGCTGGCCGGCTTGCTCAAAGTCGGAGTGCAACAAGGAGGAGTACGCAAAGATGATCAACCTGGATGACGGCAAGACTTCAGGGGTAAGATCTTGAAGATTTCGAGTTTTCGTATTTTGTGTTTGAAAGCACAAGCTCCGTTCCAATGTGCAAATATCGTAAAACAGGATCATAAAAAAGTGGCTATGACCAATACAGTAACGAAAATGTTCTGTTAATCATCCCTCTCTTCATGATTAGTTAAACAGAAAGCAAACATATATGAAAAGTGCTCCAAATTGTGCTGTTTCGGCAACTTGTTTGTCGGCACTCTATGCATTTCAAGAGCAAGAGGAGAATATTGCAACATTCCAGGTTTTTGGTCATAGTTCATTTTAAAACTGTTTTAGCTCCTAGAATTGTTTGTTTGTTGATGGTCGGTTGATTTTGTTACTCACTTTTGTGGACACAAAGTTTTTCGCGCGCAAGAAAACTGAATAGGTTGATGTTAATGTTGAGGAATGAGATGACGTTAGTAGTGTTAAAAAACATTGGTAATAAGAAAACATAAAGAGAAGAATGAAGAAAATCGAAAAAATTTTCAGCAATCTTGCAATGTTCACGGAATCGCATGCCTCAATATCTTTGTTATGCTGGCATTTATTGGATCTCTGGCTGTCCTCCTTTGTGTGGGATTCGTGTTCACTTCGTATGACGAAGAGTACACTGTAAGCGAACTTTGCACATGTTTCCATCGATTACAATTTTCTTCAGAACTTGAGACAAAACCAAGCTGGTCAAGAGTCACCAAAACGAAACCGAATCCGAAGGACTGGAGCATGGATCCATAATTTTATGGAGAACAATGCACGAGATATTGGAATGATGGCTGGACGCAACCCAAAATCACATTTCTTCATCGGCTGCGCTGTTCTTATCTTCTGTCTGCCGGGAATGATTTATCATCAAGAGTCGACTAATGTTGTTGATATGTGGTCATCACCAAGATCCAGAGCTCGTCAAGAGGAGACAGTTTTCAACGCGAACTTTGGGTAAACATCTTATCAGTTATTGTCAGAAAAATTGTTTTAATTGGTTTAGACGTCCACAAAGGTATCAACAAATCATGCTGCTCAGTAACAGAGAGTTTCAAACAAATGGAAAATTATATGGTCCAGTATTCCATAAAGACATCTTCGAGGAACTTTTTGATATCTTAAATGCTATCAAAAACATCTCCACCAAAGACGCCGAAGGTCGTACTGTAACACTGGACGATGTATGCTACCGACCTATGGGACCTGGATATGATTGTTTGATCATGTCGCCAACCAACTACTTCCAGGCAAGTTCAACTATACTGTATGTAGTACTAAAGTGCAACCAAACTTTTAGGGGGCAAAGAAGAATCTTGAATTGAAGAAAGAAGAAATCGTATCGGACGAAGATGACGCATTCGATTATTTCTCATCAGAAGGAACAACAGATGAATGGATGAATCACATTGCTGCCTGTATTGAGTAGGTTGAAAAAACAATAACAATAATACAAGAAGAACAAAGAGAATAGGAATGAAAACAAAACTAAACATTCTAAGAAAACTCTATAATTCAATTGCTTTATTGTTTTATTTTTACAGTCAGCCAATGTCACAAAAAACAAAATCGGGACTGAGTTGTTTTGGAACATACGGCGGACCATCGGCACCTAATATGGTATTTGGAAGAAATACGACAAACTACCAAGCAGCCAACTCTGTGATGATGACATTTCTAGTTACACAGAGAACAGAGCCTGAGATCCAAAGAGCCGAATTATGGGAAAAGGAGTTTATTAAGTTCTGCAAGGACTATAGGGAGAAATCACCGAAAGTTACATTCTCTTTCATGGCGGAGAGATCAATTCCGGATGAGATCGAGAAAGATGCAAAGGATGAAATTGTCACTGTAGTCATTGCATTGGCATTCCTGATTGGATACGTCACTTTCTCTTTGGGCCGCTATTTCGTATGCGAGAACCAACTTTGGTCAATTCTGGTCCACTCACGAATATGCCTTGGAATGCTGAGCGTCATTATAAATCTATTAAGTTCCTTCTGCTCCTGGGGTATCTTCTCCATGTTTGGAATTCATCCTGTCAAAAATGCACTCGTCGTCCAGTTCTTTGTTGTTACGTTGCTAGGCGTCTGCCGCACATTCATGGTTGTCAAGTACTACGCCCAACTTCGCGTATCCATGCCGTACATGTCGCCAGATCAGTGTCCAGCGATTGTAGGGATGGTCATGGCTGGAACAATGCCTGCTATGTTTAGCAGCTCTTTGGGATGTGCATTTAGTTTCTTCATTGGTAGGAGAAATCCGACTAGATCGTGAACTATTAGAATATTTTCAGGAGGATTCACTGATCTACCAGCTATCAGAACTTTCTGCCTTTATGCAGGACTTGCTGTATTAATTGATGTGGTTCTTCATTGCACTATCTTCCTCGCTTTATTCGTTTGGGACACACAGCGAGAGTTGAACGGAAGACCAGAGTTTTTTCTGCCATTTAAGATCAAGGACCTCCTTGGTGCTTATCTCGTTGGAAGACAAAGATCCACGGACACTTTTATGTCTCAATTCTTCCGTTACTCATTTGCCCCATTCTTGATGCATCGGATCACTCGTATTGTTACCGTAAGTGAACCTTGAAATTTTCGAAAAAAAAATTTATATTTTAGGGAGTTATATTTGTCGCTTCTTTCATTGCAACAATTATTCTATCCAGCAAGATCAGTGTTGGTTTTGATCAGAGCATGGCGTTCACTGAGGTAAAATTTAAACAAATGTTAGAGAAAATCAAAAATGGAAACTTTCAGAAGAGCTACATCAGCACTCATTTCCGCTATATTGACAAATTCTTTGATGTCGGACCTCCAGTATTTTTCACTGTTGACGGAGAACTTGATTGGCACAAACCAGAAGTGCAAAATAAGTTCTGCACTCTTCCAGGATGCAATGATACTTCTTTCGGAAACATTATGAACTACGCTGTTGAGCATACTGATCAAACGTTCTTATCTGGAGAAATGTACAACTGGATTGACAGCTACCTGGAATGGATCAATAGGAAAAGCCCATGCTGCAAAGTCTACGTCCATGACCCCAACACCTTCTGTTCCACGAATCGAAACAAAACCGCTCTAGATGACAAGGCGTGTAGAAGTTGTATGGACTATGATGACATCGCGAATTCCTATCCGAAAAATCACGTTATGTACAACAGGCCGTCTACTGAGGTTTTCTATAAACATTTGAGACACTTTTTGGAAGACACTCCAAATATGGAATGCGCATTTGGGTGAGTTGCTCAAAACTTTAGTATGAAATTCTATTGAATTTTTCAGAGGTCGTGCTTCATTCAAAGGCGCTATTAGCTTCACTTCTCGAGGAAGAATCCAAGCCTCCCAATTCATGACGTTCCACAAAAAATTATCAATGAGCAACTCCAGTGATTTCATAAAAGCTATGGAAAATGCTAGAATGGTATCTCGGCGTTTGGAACGGTCCATTGATGACACTGCCCATGTGTTCGCCTACAGTAAAATCTTTCCATTCTACGAGCAATACTCCACAATTATGCCAATCCTTACTACTCAACTCTTCATCACAGTTGTCGGAGTATTTGGAATAATTTGTGTCACGCTTGGAATTGATGTCAAAGGAGCAGCTTGCGCCGTCATTTGTCAAGTATCCAACTATTTCCATATTGTTGCATTCATGTATCTCGCAAACATCCCTGTCAATGCGTTATCCGCTACCAACCTTGTAATGTCTTCTGGAATTCTCATCGAGTTCTCTGTGAATGTTCTGAAAGGATACGCTTGCTCTCTCCGTCCACATGCCAAGGATCGTGCTGAATCTACTGTTGGTAGTATCGGTCCAATAATTCTCTCCGGTCCAGTTGTCACAATGACAGGTTCCACTTTGTTCTTATCCGGTGCACATCTTCAAATCATTACGGTACAAACCACTTCTTATTATTTTCATTACGATTCTTCATCATTTCAGGTTTATTTCTTCCTTCTCTTCCTTATCACAATTGTTAGCAGTGCTGTTCATGCTTTAATCATTTTGCCTATTCTTCTTGCATTTGGAGGTTCCAGGGGCCATGGTAGCTCGGAAGCTAGCACTAATGGAGATGATGAGCCGGTAGAAGTGGGGATGATGTAAGTTGGCAAATTTAGAAAGAATGGAGCATTTCTTGAGTTTCAGGTCTGGAACTGGTGAAAGCCATGCAATGGAAGAGGGTGTTCTAAACCGCCCTACTCTTCTAAACACCACTCATCTGCTAGATCCACTTCTCAAATCTGAGACCAATGAACTTGATTTAAAAGCCATAGGTACCCAAAAAACGTCATCAATCCTCTAAACGCAATTTTTTTGAAGATATCATCACCATCGATCGCTCGTACCCGTCCACGCCATCATCGTTGCCATGCACTTCTCGTTTGCCAAGAGCTCATATTGAACCTGATCTGCGATCTCTATAAAAGCCCTCTTCTACACATAATTTCACTTGATTTTTCTCTCTGTGTCATTGTTTTTCCTTGTAAATCTGTTCTTTTTAGGCGCCTATACTAGTCCTAAAACTTCTCAAACTTCCCACATTTTTATCATATTTGTATCATTGTTTTCCCTGTGGTAGTCAAAACGTAGTCATATAATTTTCTCATAATGCGCGGTTCCTTTTTTCTAGCTTCATGGTTTACTTTTTTAGACTTCTATCCTCTTTTTGATAATTCATCTCTCTTTTCTCCCTGATACAAAACTCCTGAATACAAATCTCGCATTGGTAGTTATTGCTTCTCAAAATGCTTGTTGTCTTCTTACTGTTGGTAGATTCTCCTTTCCTATACTGGTTGAAATTCTTTTAATATGTAATCAAAATCACTTGTGATGATTGTTTACCTGGTATTCACATGCATTTTTCTCACGCCATTTGCTTTACAAAATCTTTAATAATTATTTGAATGAATTCTGAAATTTTAGTTGTCTTTAGCAAAAGCCTAGAGACTAAAATTTGAATTTGGGTTCAGGAATGTTGACAGGCCAATTGTGGGCCGGCATGGGCCGGCTAATAACTTGCTTCGTAATTAATTGTGAGCAAAACATCTGATAAAGCTCGGAGAGATCCACTACCTTCAATGAGAATCGACAAAATTCAAAAGTAGTATTATCGTCCGAGCTGACGATTTTCGCCCGGCCCGGCTATCAATTCCTGGCACGCATCCGGTTACTGAATCAAATATTGACCGATTTTTATTGGATATTCCGGAGCTTGCAGAGTTCTATCATCTAGTATGTGGTTTTGCCTTTTTTCCAGCTAGCAGCGTGTCTGCCCAAACTCTGCTTGTCGAGAAGTATTTTCTAAAACTGTGTCTGCTGATAGCAAAGTCAGGTACCTGAAAACCATCCTAAAACAATCCCGCAGTAACTAACAAGAAGGTTTAGAGAGAAAACTCAAAAGTAAGGAAAAAAGTCGTTAAACATGCACTGAACTCTCCGACAAATCTCGGTTTCTTTATTTTATTTTTATCTCTATACCAAACACGATCGAACAACAGGTGAAAAAAAAAACTCGACGTTTATCCGAGAAGACAACAGCTAAAAATGAGAGAGAGTGAGAGGTGGTGAGGAATTGAAATTTAAAAAGTTTTTTGTTATCGGTACAAAGAAGCCTTGGATATTCCATCTCGTAATTTAAAGTTGCACATTCAATCCCTTGAGCTGTTGAATGGCGTTTTGCAGATACTGGTCCTTGAATGATCGGTCGTTGATTTGCTTATCCACCTGGAATTGGTTTGTAAAATTTTAGACTTGAAATTCTCACAGATTTAGTTAGCAGCGGCACTGCTTTATCTTCAAGCTAGATGAACTATTCAAGTTGAAAGTGTCCCCAGTAGTTAGAGCAAAACTTTATAAGTTTGCTACGAATTGCAAAATAACTCACACTGTCATTGATGAGCTTGAGGAGTTGCTCCTTCTCGAAACGAGCCTTGGTCTCCTCGGTCTCCTTCAAGTAGTCGACACGGCGTTTGAGTTCAGTGGCGACGGTCTGGACGTTCTTTCTGTAGGTGGCCTCAAGTTGAAGAGCCATGGACTCCTTGAGGGCGGTTGGGAGAGCGTCCTTGATGGAGTTCAAAGACTCGGTTTGGGCGGCCGAGGTCTTTTTGAACTCGACGACGTCCTTGAGATCTTCCTGGATGAGTCCCTTGAAGTAGTTGACACGGTCTTGGTATCCCTGGTAGAGTCCTTGGTCGATCTTGTCTGAAAGTCAAATGATTTAGTTAAGGTCGCCTTATGTGGTAATGGATGATAGGTCATAAGCCGGCTGTTGCCGGCAAATACTGGCCGGAGTTTGCTTATGATTTAAGTCTGGAAAGATCGCTTTAGCTCTCAACGTTCGACCAAAACCTGACTACATCTATGATTGCCAAAATATGACCAAAACCTGAGTCCACCTGGTCGAAATTTACCCAAAAGCCAAACATCTCTCTACTCATGACAGAAGTTACAAGCCGACAACTGAGAGGTGTCTTTCTAGTAAAAATAAGCAGAGACCAGCAAAGGATGCCTGTGAGTCTCCAACCAAATCTGTTTCACTTACATCCAGCGGTTCTGGAGACCAAGAGGTAGAAGATTATCCATCCGACAGTCATGTGTCCTTGCTCCTCGAACACCCACAACTCCTTGTTGACGAGGAAAGCGAAAAGTCCTCCGAAGAACAAGTATGGTCCGGAGACTCCGGTGACCTTGTTGAAGGCGGTGAACCACGAGTCTGGCATCATAAGAAGACGAGACTTTGGTGGGTACATTGGTCTGGCTGGGTATGGGTAGTTGACCTGAAACAAAATTTGAGGTAGTTCAATTCTGAGAGTCTAGAACTTACCAAATCACGGTCTGGGTGCTCCTTGAAGTCCTTTGGGATGGCTGGGAGTGGCTCTGGTGCAGACCATTCCTTGTTGCAGTCCTCGAACATGGACTTTGGTGCGTGAGCCTCTCCCTTGAGTGGGACTCCTTGGAAGCGAAGAGCCAACTTTTGGAAGAAGTTTGGGGCATCGTCGGTGGCAGTGGCGGCCTCTGCAAGAACGCTTTGATTTTTCCGCATGATGGTTTTATCGATTTTCGCTCATCGCCGGTAAAAACTTACGTGGAGCGGCAGCGTGTGCAAATCTGGCTGGGATAATGATGACACGGGCGTTCTGCCCGATTGGAAGGATGCGGCTCAACGACATGGTGGTACCCTGAAAGAAATTTTGAATTTTAGCGTGGTTGCAGAATTTTAAAAGAGGCAAAACGAGGTGAACAAACTATTTTTTCCTTTAGGCGGCAGTAAAACACGGAAAAACTTCTATAATCTTCATGAAAAGTTAAAATATAGCTCTTTTTCTATTTTTTTAACAACAAAATTTGACGAAAGAAGCTGAAAAATTAGCTGTAAAAGATAGAAAATGCCACAGTAGAATTTACGCAGTACGCAGTCCGCCCGTCCATCTCTCCCTCACTCGGCTGTTTTCGTGGTAAGACCCGCGGAGTATCGTTGCGAAAACGAGACGCAGACAACACAAGGAACAGAAATTGATCGGCGAGAGCGCAATAAATGCAGATTTCCAGCGATTTGTGCTTGAAACAATCGTTTGAACAATACTTTTGCAGAAAATCTTGTTTAGAAAAATTTAAGAATACTGTTGGCTAGCGTGGAATACTTCAATCTGCAGAAATTACAAGAATTGGATAACTCGAAGAAGGATAAACAGTTCATTGGATTTTATTTAAGAATTCCCGCCTGTAATGATTGCGTAAATGATCAACAGTAGTTAATGCGAGTGGAGAAACATATCTAGATTGATTGACAATAAAAATTTGGTCGAAAAAATGTGAAAATATTCGTTTTTCCAATAAATTTCATTCGTTTCTCCAATAAAATGAGTTTCCGTTTGAATAAAAACGAGCGGGTTGATAGCAAAAACTGGTTTTCAGACACCAGACGTATTTTAGAAAATTTACGGATATTTCAGACGCTCCCTGACATTGCTCCACAGAAGACTATATTCGACGACGCCGAAAAGCTTGGTTTAGTGGATAAGAGCTATTCTCTCACACAATCACCGTTTTTCGCCTATGAATTGGACCCTGATTGAAATAGACAAACAAAAATTCAAGAAAGTTCCAAATGATATTTTTCTATAAGGTTTAAGAAACAGATATTGGTAAAAAGGGACCTTATACACACTTTTCTCGACTATTTTTCAGCCAGCTTCCCCTGTTGCTCGATTGTGAAATGCAGCTCTCATAGACTCAGAAGTTACGGCTCTTATAGACTCAGAAGTCTTTTACAATTGTCTCTGAAACTCGAAGGAAACTTCCGCTAAAATTTCAGCAGAAAAATTGAGTTGCCGATACAAAATATTAGGTTGGTAAAAAAGTAATGCGCGTTTGGTACTAACTACTTCAAATTACAGCTGGTGTAGTTCTTCAAGAGAGACATCGAAACTTTGATCATGCGGTGGCAGTAAATGGTCGAAAATTATGGAGAAAAGTCCTCTGATTGATATCCTCTTGTTTTAGTTTTGTGTGAGGTTAAAAGAAATCAAAAACGCTCATTACTTTCTTACCAACCTAATAGTGTTGGAACACCTCTGAAATCGTTTTTTTTTCGTTGCAAAAAGAAAAGTACCCGTGTCAAACCAAGTGTCCAGCTTAAAGTTTGATCAGATTTTATGTCTCATATTCTCCATAGAGTTACGCAGCTGAAGCTGTTTATTTCAATCTAGTAAATCTAATTTAAGTATCAAAAAGCCGCGGAGTCTTCTGTTCAGCCACACAGTGAATATCAGTGGACACATCGTAGAGTCTTCGGCTCAGGTACACGGTTAATTTTGGTGGACAAATCGTGATGTACCTGAAATCGGCTGATGTATCAAATCCGAATCCGATAAACAGCCCAAAGAGTAGCAGACTTAGAATATTAGGGGTTTTTGAAATAAAACCTTGCTGAAAAGTCATGGAAAAATAATTAATATCCAGCTTAAATCATTTATCTCATTTCAGAAAGCCTAATTCAAAGGTCGAAAACCTATAGGGTCTTCGTCAGTGGCTTAATCGTTGAGGGCCCAAAAAGAAGACGTCTTCTGAACCGAAATTACTGTAAACGTGCCATATGCATTGAAAACTTGTGCTTTAAGTGAAAATTTTTATTTTGGACAGATAAAGATTGAAAATAAGTCATACGGAATGTCAGAAAATATAAATAAACATTAAAAAACAGCATCGAGTATAATTGGCAAGCGAAGAGTTCGGAAGATAAATTCTTTTGATTCAATGAAAGAAGCCTTTGGAGACAATGTGTTCAGAGGCGAGCTAAATTGATGTAGCTGCGAGCTCTGTGTGTCCAGACGTCCTTGATGAGCTTCTTGAAACCGTTGCGAAAGCGAACCGACATTAAATTGTAAAAGATTGGGTTCAATGAAGCGGAAATGTACTGGAGAATCCCTGAAATCATTAATCGTGATCATAAGTTTAACGTTATAGCAAAAATACCGGCGATTGGGTACAACAGACGACAGAAATCGGATCTCGAGCAATCATCTCTTTTGTACTTGACGATAAAGCGTTGTGCGTGATAAGGAAGGTAGCAAACAAAAAAGACTCCAGTGACCGTGACTGAAAAAATTAATGATGCGTTATTGCAGAGCCAATGAAGTTATACCTAGCATTTTGATGACCATTTTCTGTGCCTGTTGACTTTTCGGTGGTTGAGAGCTCTTTGTATGAATTGTCAATGGATAACTCTGACTACTGGAGTTGTTGTTGTTGGAATTAGGAGGAAACGGGAAGGCGTTGCCACTCTCACTTCGAGCATTACCGACTGGAGTATGGACCACGGTGGAGTTGGACATTTCATTAAGAGTCACTACAAACTACCGAAAGATAGATCGGTTTCTAAGATAGTTACTGACCGAGAATCCGAAAATAGCAGTAGATGATGAAGAATAGCGGAAGAACAAACGTGATTGCCATGGCTGATTCGAATGGATACCGGAAAAGACTGTCTGGGGAAGTCAGCAAGTCACATCGTCCTACATAGTTCATTTCACGATTAAAACCACAGAAATCAGGCCAAACGCGCTTGAACTGTAACATTTTTTCAAAGTTTCAAATGATTTTCCATAGCTTTTACCATTGATCCAATGAAAATCGAGGGGAGCAGTGCAACAAACCAAATCAATAGAATAAATCGTTTCACCCGTTTTTCGTCAAATATTGTTCTATGTGAAAATGGATAACAGATTGCTGTGAACCTTTCTGCCGTCAGCAGAACAATTGTGAGAATTGAAGCAAATGTGAAAAGAGATATCAATGTGCCTGGAAAAAGTTTGTAACTGAAAGTACATTGGAAATACTTCTTACTGGTAAAAGAGCAGTATCCAAACAGCTCAGGAGGCTGACCATCATTCCAGATGTTGACCAAGTCGAATGTTACGCCAACGATAATAAGACAGAAGTCACTGGTGGCCAGATTGGCCAGAAAATAGTTGGTATGTGAGTGAAGGGCTTTGGTCTGAAAATAGAAAAAAGCAATTGGGATCTACCGTGAAAATTCTAATAGAAGTCAATCGCTAACCGTCAACTTCGAGCTGATTTATCTCGGTTGCAGTGGAAGATGTCAAAAAGTAGTCAACTGGCAAAACTTTTACCATAATAACAACAGTATTTTACAGGTTGATTACTTGGTGATATTTGCCACAATTTTCGAGATAACTTGATTTGAAGTCAACAGTTGGGGGGACGTTCCACTATAGTATTCGCGGTATATGAGATGTTACCTTCGAAATGACAATTACAGTGAGAAGATTACCAATCAAGCCCACCAAGCCAACAAACAGGAAGATACCAGTTAAAATTGGTTTGAGATATGTTGGGTCTCTGGAAATGAAGAACTTTTGAAAATTGGAAAAAGTTATTAGAGGTTGAATGACCGAAAAAAAATGAATATTTGTCTTTGACGAAACACACAAATTTTCAAAAATCGAATACTGATCTTAAATATCTGGACAAAACTACTGTACTAGGTCTGTAACTCACGATGAATACTGAGATACTGAGCGATTTCGCTGATAACCGGGATGATCCAACGCTCCGCGAAGTGTTAGTTGAGCCAGCATCTGAACATCCGCATGGTAGCAAAATTGTTGAAGATCCGATGTCTGAACATTTTTCATTGATTCTATGTTTCATTTTCCCCAGTCCATACCCGTATTGAAGAGTTCGAACCATTGAAAAACAACTTTCGAATTCTGTCAAGCACCAGTTCCGCTTGATAGTTATGATCATTTGTCATTGCTTCAATAAAAGTTGATACATTATAGGGATAAATACAAGAGTTGAACTCTTTGAGATAGTCATTAAACGAATAGGACATTTTCACTCGATCGAATTCAGATGGAGTAGACAAAAACATATCAAATAGAGAAGGGTCTATTCCAGACTACGGAAAGGGGGCGGAGGGTGGAAAAGTTATGAGAGCCTAGACATAATAAGATAGGAAAGGAAAGTAGGCAAGATCTCAGAATAATAATTTTTACATACATCCATATTCGAATATGTCACAAAAAAAAGAACATCAGACAGATAATTCAATGAGGAGGTGGGAAAATGAAGATCAACAAATAATGTAATAAAGTTATAGGTCATTCTGAATCCTTCTAAGATGAATGAACATGTCTTGCTTCTTTGTTAAAATTTTTTTTGGAATTTAAACGGAATAAAGGGTAACTGAGACTGTTAGAAACTGAAATAGAATACTCTGACGAGTGCACGTTTGATTCTAAAAGTATTCAAATGGCGTGTGCAAGCAAAGAAGACACAGATGCTAATTTGAATTTAACAGAACCTCTGCAAGGAACAAAAAAATGAACAAAAAAGAAAGCAAATGCTCTTTGGGGCTGAGCTTAAAAGATCGGAGTCAACAAATGGAGGTCATAATACCGCGCCGCACAAAATGGATCTGATTTCAATATGTCGGGCCATCGAAAACAGAAGTGGCTGGTCAAGCCTTCCTATATTAGGCCAAACAACGGCACCACCAAAAAAGGACCTCTTTGGGTACACTCGGCAGAGGATGAGAAATGAATTTGGTTAAGAGGTTCGGAATGAAACCATCACAAGATTCAATTTTAAGAGCCCTCTTCTCGTTTCTTTGACGTTGTTGTAAGACTGAAAATCTAATTTTTGGGACTTTTTTGGTTTCTTTATTCTGTGTTCTTTGAAAAGGAAAGAGAAAAACAACGTCATGAGATACCGTAGTAAAGGGAAATTGAGTCAGACGCCTTATTATATGAGCAATAGTTCAAAGCGGCAACTTGCAATTATTTGTCTATGTATGTTTTCTAAGGACAGGATTAATTAGCAGAAATAATTGAACCAGGCTGCATTCAATCCGAGATTATGGTAGATTTTTGAAATTTTCGAAATGATTTCCTGGTTCAGTCCTAAAAGTACAGGTATTTCTAAAATGTTCAGAAAATAGGAAGTTAACTCAAGGAAATGGAAATGAACGAAAAAGTCACATAAAACTCAATAACAAATACATTTAAAATTCTGTTAGGTATAAGCGCATAACATGTTTTTCACTCTCTTAGGAACTATTTTCATGGAAAAAGAGCTAATTCAAATGTGAGCTGAGTTCAAGATGGTTGAAGAAAAGTTTAAAATGAGATTGAGAAGAAACGGCCAATCTGATTCAGAAATAAACATAAACCAGATGTGAATTGGCCAAAGTTTGGTATGGAAAAGGACTGCAACGGGAAGGGATCTGTTTAAAATTGACATGTGGAGTTGAACGATCAACACACAACTAATTCTAGGTTTGGAAAAATAAACCAAGAAAGCTTTGCGGCTTCTATTAATACAGAAATCTCCTACGATCTTTTTTTAAGGCTGACGGGATACTATTCAGCAAGAATATTCTTGTTGAAATTGGTTGCCGAAGCAGGATTGTGTCGGAACACCTCCGAACTCGAATTTTTGTCAAAGAAGAAAGGTATCCGAAGTGTGAAAAATCGGGAAAACAATTTCATTGACTAAAAATGGAACTCCAAATTGGAAAAACCTCAAGTTTGAAAAGAATTCAGAACATATCAGCAAAAAATAAGTGGTTTTGCAACATCTGCGATACCAAAACGAAAGTCTAACAAGAGAGTAGTACAAAAACTATAACACCAGCTAATTATACCAGATGGAGCTAATCAGCCAAGCTCGAAATTGTTGGATAAAAATCAAACAGATAAGTCACAGTTGTCACTAGACACTGAGAAAGAAAAACGTGATGAAATAAAAAGTCACATTAAAAGCAATGTTGCCAATGAGAGAAAAAAAAATCTGGGTTCAATGGGGGGATGGGACAGTAGGAAGAAGATACATGTGGACAGACACTCTCAGAATTCGTTACATATTTGTTTACGTACAGCTCATGCGACACATTTGAAAAAACGTGTTTGCATTGTCGGTGTACTTTTCCATCTTAAATTTTTTTTCCAGTTGCCATGAGAAGATGAGGTTTTTTTGAGTTAAAGTGTTTCGGGATGATGAAGAAGATCAGTTGATAGTTGGCTTGTTTAGCATTTTCAAACACTTTCTGAAAACAAATTTCGTGGGAGACGACTGAAATCCTGTTAATACCTGAACTTCTTGCTCACGAATGCTCCGGACAGTTGGTTTCGATACGCTCATTCCGTTTCCAGCCATACTGCGAACAAGTTCTTCTGGAACTCCTCTGAAAAAGTATTCAAATGAAAATAATTGTCTAGGCTAAACATACGGCATCTCGCGGCATTCAACATAGCATATTTCCCATTTTTGAAGAGACTTTGGTTCGAAAAAGTTGCCAGCTCTTCGGAAGTCGGTGGGAACTTTGGCGCTCGGATCGTTGAGGGAGGCAACCTTTTTGTCGGCAAAAGTAATCTTTGGCTTGGCTAAAACGATTCCGTTGACCGTCTCTGGTTGACCAACTCCAATGAATCCGAGCACATTACTTGATGCAATCCCGACGGCTTTAACCACATCCTCAGTTGCTGCCTTCCTGATGTTTGGCTCGGCAGCAGACATCTGTATAGCTATAAATCAGTATTGTACAATACGAGGCAACTTACCCGAATGAGCTCAGATTGTTCGTTGTTGACCATACGTTCATTGGTGACCTTCTGTGATGGGCAAAGCACAAGCAGCTCCACAGGCAAGACCATCAATCTTCCACCCTTTGGTTTGGCAAGAGCCGTCATCAGTGAAGGGTACTTCAATTGAATGTTATACTTTTCTCGGAAATGATCAGCAACCGAAATCGAACTTTCCTCACGCTCGAAGAAGCTGTTTGTAGCGCTATTTGAGAAACCATGCAACTTGACGACCAAGTTGTCCTCAAAGTCGCTGACGGTCTCGCTCCTTGAGTAGTTTAAGTAGAATTCGCAGCCTGAAAAGCTCATACTCATTTGTTTTTAATTTTCATGGAAAACGCACCCTTCAGAGCGCGAGTTACGTAGAGTCCATCCTTAGAAGTCGCGGATAGTCTCTCATCAAGACCCCCCAAGTATTGAGAAATCAGCTCCGGAAGTGGGATGTTATCCGGGTGGAACAATGTCACTTTGACTAAAAAATCAACGTCATAACTTGGAATTCAGAAATTATCACTTACGTTCAGTTGCCATGTAGAGGCTCGCGTTTTTGTCTTTTCCTTCAAGATACTTGATCCCTTTTGCGGCTCCTAGCGCAGTGTATAATCCTCCTTCAGGGAAATAAAGATCTTTGAAGAAGCTGAAACACCATTAATATTTCAACTGTCTTTGGCTCTCATCAACTAACCCAATAGCAGAAGTGTCGAGAAGGTAGTGGACGCAACCATTTATTGTTATAACATTGGAGCTGTAATATGTTTTTTAGTTGACAAATTTCTTTTTCAAATGTCTACTCACTTGGCGTAGGCTGGTCCCGAGATGAAGATGCTCAAGGCTTCTGGGAACGTCTTGTCGGCCAATGCAGGACATGCGTTTGCAATCCTCTTCATGTCGTTGCTAGTAGCCTGGTAGGTCTCCGCAACTGCTGCGAGTTTGAACTCAGCTCGAACGAAGTTTCTTGCAGATGAGACCTTCTTTTGGATAGTGATATCAATTTCCTTCTGAAAAATACATAATTAATGGATAGTTTAATGATTTTTCTTAAACTACCTTGGATTGAGCTTTTGAAGGCTGTACAAAGAGGCTTGGCGATCGTAGTATGTAGTCCCGACAGTTCGAAGCTCTGGACAAAGCTGAAGGGCCTCCGTGAAAGCTCGTTGGCAGAAACGTCTGGCTCTGTCCTGTTTTGCTCCAGTTTCTTGGAAATTGGAGAACTCGATGGTGGCTTCTTTGTCGTCGGCTGTCGAGAAGACGTATAAGATTTTCACCGAATAGTTGTAAACAGGGGTGTTGGGTTCCACATCTGAAATTCAGGAACATGTTAGTTAAAATTCTGGTAGAAAAAGTCTTCAACCTAATACTTCGAAAAAAAACTTACTGAGTTTTCTCAAGTTGGTGTGGAGAGTCACTGGAGTTCCTTCCGGATTACGGTCCACTTTTGGAGCAAGTGGAACGAGCCCGAGCTTTTTCTTAGGCTCATCGTTGACGTTGCAGTCTTGAAAATTCTTTGTGAGATCTTCCATGATGAGATCCTGAAAAATGATTTTTTTTTTTGGTGGGAAGAAAGAAGAAAAACTGGAAATAAGAAATGGAATCAATGTAGGAAACTCGAAAAAGCAGATATAAACTGTTGGAATCTATAAAGAGGGAGAAGAAAAAAATTGTGATGTATTCCAATTACGGTTTAAACCTCGCGAAGGTTTTTTTTTCCAAAATATGAATTCATCTAGAACATTTGGCAAGCTTTGATAAACAATGTAAATGCCACGACGCTACGCCATGTCTACTATACTTGCACACGCCCCAAATAATTTTTGAAAAAACTATGTTTGTACCTCTAGTTTTAATAAATCGGATGTTATCGGTGCTGGGTTTTCAGACGCTTACAGTAATATTTACATAAAAGAAAGAATCACAGAGTAAGAAACTAGGTGTGTTAAGTCTCTTTCGCATAAGTGTTTGCTGGAAAAGAAACAACTGGGGATGGAAAGCCAGATCAGAATCAATAGTTCAAATAGTATGGTTGAAGGTCTTTCTTGAAAACCAAAAAGGAGTACCTCGTGAGAAAGAAAGAGGTGGCAGGTAGTTGGATCCAATAGGGAGATTAGAGTATAATTCTTGCAAAAATTAAATAGCATGAAACGTACTCGACAAGGGTAGGGAAGAATATGAAAATTGGTCATTGATTTTTTTTCAGCATTCAGCTAATTTGAGAAATGATGAATAGTCACACCTATACTTGAACTATGAGCTCATTATTTTGTTTTCCATGAGAGACATCAAATTTTTCATCTGACAAATCATATCCTAATATCTAAAATATGTTATCAGTCGACAAAAGTTGGATATCTCTCATAGCAAAAGAGATATATATGCTCAAAATGCACGCATGAGGTGGTTAGAGCAAATACGGTACTTCCTAAACACGTTAGAAAACTTGGTTGTTGGGTGGCTACGAAGTTGAGTGAATTGAATAAGTGATCTTATTTTTATCGAGAGCACAGAATGGTAATACAATTTTCAAAATGGTACTCGCCTGGTCAGATAAGATAATGAGAAGTTTGGAAAGAAAAAGAAATCACAACTTTACAAAAGACGGCGGACACTCGAACTATGGAAAATATAAATGTGTATTTAAAAGAAAAAGGAATGAAACCGAAAGAGACCAATAACTCTGATAACAACAAGGTCAAGCCTTATATTCACTCAACATTGCTCATCCCTAACTGTCTGGTAACAACCAGGTCAAGCCTTCACTCAACATTGCTCACCCTAATTGTCTGGTAACAACTAGGACAAGTATTCACTCAACATTGCTCATCCCTAACTGTCTGATAACAACTAGGTCAGGTCTTCACTCAACATTGCTCATCCCTAACTGTCTGCTAACAACTAGGTCAGGTCTTCACTCAACATTGCTCATCCCTAACTGTCTGATAACAACTAGGTCAGGTCTTCACTCAACATTGCTCATCCCTAACTGTCTGCTAACAACTAGGACAAGTATTCACTCAACATTGCTCATCCCTAACTGTCTCCTACATCTAAAAAACGTGGATTAAGATCAAAGTTTTCTCCAAAAAACAGAGAGCGTGACATGTTAGAAAGAAAATGGGAAATTTTTACAATAACAATTTTCAGTTGCATTCAACAGTGAACAAATTTCATGCCAGGTGCAAATGCCTTGGGGTGATTTTGACACCATCGGAGGATGACGAAAGAGTTGGAATTTGTATTCTGATGAATCTAAAAATGATCTCGAGCATCTATCTCAACTAACGAAAAGTGCCTAATTTTTCGTCAGACTATTTTCAATAGATCCATTCAAAAAGAAACAAATAAAATCGACTTTCCCAAAAGAACAGTTGCGAATTTTCAAAATTGTTACACAACAAAGAACTTTACAATCAGCGTTGGAGGCATTGAGAGATTACTCTCTGTTACAACAAACAGAAATAAAAAGTATCATGCAATGTGAACATCGAGCTTTTGAATAGCAAAAAACCAAAACTGTACCTCTAATGAAGAAATCATGAATAAAATGGGTTCTCTATTTCATGTAAATCTTTGGAGAATGGGTTAGAAAACTTAGACAGGCAGTGAAGAAGAGAAGAGGAGAAAAAGCGTAATTGAATTTTCAATACGACTACGCGCGACCTCATGTTGCAAGGTTCAAATGCTGGGCTCCAGTCGTATGGATGAATTTTTTTTGTCCCATCCATCACCAGCGACATCTTGATTAAAAAACTTTCAAGACAAAAGAAGGACATCAAAACTGAGCTGTCTCAATACTTTGCCCAGCTGAAGCCAGAGTTTTTTTGATGAAGGAATCAAGAAACTTCCTGGACAATGACAGAAAACAATTAATGCTAATGGTGAACCCTTTGCTTTTTCAGCGAACACTGTATGTTGATGAGATACTGTCTGATAGTGCAAATAAATACAACGTTATCAGTAAACAATTACTCTAATGAAAAAATATATCAAAAACTATAGAGCTACAGTAAACCTAGAAGGACTTTCCTTTCTAAAAAAGCGAATTTTATCGATGAAACGATAAATTGAAACTTTAACAAATTAGTTCATCTCGAAACAAGCGTCCTTGGCCCAAAACGTTGTTTTTTCACACTGGGTTCCTTTTATTTATCCTGTGCGCGCGCACGCCTCTCTTCACCCAAACACACACTACCCTAGAAAACGCGCTCCATTGACAACCTCAATAACAAGTCACGTTTTGTTTATTTAATTGCTAATTTTACCTTGTTTTTCCACATTTTTTCAGTAATATTTTGTTGCTCAAAAATTTCTAGATTTTTCTTTTACAGATTTCATGTCAAAAGACTATCGGAAGTTGATTGTACAGCGGTTGGAAGATGTGAAACAGAAAAATAAGAAAATCGCGGTTTTCTATGATAATTGTGAGTTTTTTTTTAATATTGTTTGAATCACAATTTTCAGACTCAAAACTCTCCGCAGCAGTAGAAAAACGTCATAAGTATGACTCAACACGCTCTGATGAGAATCTCAAGGAGAGTGAAGAATTCGCGCGAGTAAAAGAGGAAATGGCAGAGTTGTATCGATCGAAATGTCAGAATGATCAGCGGCTCATCAACGCGAATCATTCTATACTGAGTTTCGAGAAGAAAACAAGCGCTTTACTGGCTGAGTAAGATTTAACTTTGAAAAATGGTCGAGAAAATCCTAATTTTAATTATTTTCAGGAAAAAATCGCTAGAAGAACAGTCTCAAAAAATAAGTAGCAAATATGCTACTGCGAAAGTTGAGATTCAGAAATTTTTGGTAGATAATGAGCAACTAAATGATGAGAGAATAGCTACAAATGTAAGTTTTTTTTAAATTTTTCAACCTGTAAATCAGATGTAACTTTAGAGTACTGTAACTGCGCTCACAAAACAAATCCAGGAAATGGAAAATGATAGAATCCAATTTCTTAACAAAATTCGACAGCTCAACGAGACACGAATCGATTTGCTCAACGCAGAGGTAGCGATGGAAGAGAGGTTAGTGATTCAGTTGTTTCCATTTAGAATCCTTATTTTAGGAAGCGCCACTCAAAAATGCAAGAAATGATAATAAAGGCAGTGGAAGAAGTCACGGATACTGATTTGAAATTGTAAGAAATCTTTTTGAAATTCCAGATCACATTCAGCAACGAATTTTCAGAGACGCAATGCTGAAAGCGATGCCCGCGACTAATTCTAATGGTGACTTACTCCTTGGCGATAGTATTCCTTCGAGAGCGGAGTTCACTTTTGTAGGTTTCCTGAAAGAAATTTCATTTGTAAAATATGAAATCACAGGAATGCGATGAAGGAGAAGTAAATGATGTAAGATGGCTCGACGCGGAAACGTTTGCAACTGGAGGATCAGATAGGAAAATAAAAGTGTGGAAAACGGATGGACATGGAGGTCAGACACGGATGTGAGTATACTTGGAAAGGTAGATAGAAGATTGAATGTGAGGTTACAGAGAAACATTATCTGGGAGTAACGCATCATTCACCAGGATCGATTATGAGAGAGATAGAAAATTGCTCATCGCATCTTCAAACGACAAAAATGTGCTGGTGTGGAACCTGGACACCTCTCGTCTGATGGTTCGTTTGCGGTCAGCAATAAAACTGTCAACCAATCGTAAATCTTTTCAGAGCACGCTATCTGGTCATGCCGATCAAGTTACATGTGTCAAGTTCTACCAATCACACTCTGCTGTGTCTGGTAGTGCCGACAGAATTATAAAGATTTGGGACCTCCAGAACCAGAGATGTAAAAAGATAACATATGATGAATAAAAAACTCTATAATGATGTTTTCAGGCAGTCTGTCATTGTTCCCTGCGTCGAAGATCTTGGATGTGGCAACAAACTTAGGTGGAAGCCCATCATTATTTGCCTCCGGACACTTTGACAAGAAGCTACGTTTCTATGATGGAAGATCGGTGGAACCTGTGAAGACTGTGGAGATGGGAGGACGGATCACATCGTTGGACGTCTCTATGAATGGGTGTGAATTGCTAATCTCCACTCGAGACGACACAATTTCAATGTTGGATCTACGCACCTTCCAAACTCTTCACTGTTATAGGTAAGTTATCGAGTCCGGATAATCCCGAAAATTCGGAACAAAGGAAATAATGACCATTAAGGGCAGGAGAGGTCAGGAGAGGGAAACTGAGAAATGGTTGCGTTGGAAGAACAAAATTAGTATTATATAGTGGGAGGAGCCTAGGAGAAATGGACGGAGCTGAAGACTTAAAAAATTGGCGGAGTTGAAAAATCGAAAAATCATAATTGTTTAATAAGGAGTGGGAGGAGCTAGTAATTAGGGAATAAAGGAAGCTAATGATGAGGAGGTGGGACTAATTAAGGAGTGAACAAAGATTTCCCGATCCTTTGTTCTTCCCCGCAATCTGGGGCTTTTAAGGTTTGCATATGTGCCGAGCTTTTAATTTGGATACCCATTATCCGGACCTTTTTTATCTTGGCGTCCATTGTCGAATCAACCGCCCACGCGTTATCTAGTATGAACTGAATAAACGTCAGAGCCAAGACTACGTGCCTTATTGAAAACATGTGATTGACTTCAACCTAAAGAAAAATGCCAAAAAGGCATCATATTTAATTCGGAGAGTCAAACATTCCGAAGGATATCGAAGGAAATCAAACAGATCAGAATAAAATCAGAAAACTCATTAAAGCGTAAGCAGAAAGTCTTTTTTGGATTCTTTCGCATATTTGAAGTTGTATTATAGGGATTAACACCCTACTGGAAAAGTTTAGCGAACTGTTTTTAGTGAAGGTTTCCGGATTATCTAAATAATACGTTCATTCAAATGTAACTTCAGATGATTGAAACTTCCCGAATGAATTTTATAAAACAGCAAATGCCAAATAATATCTAATTTGCAACCGCTTGTTTTTCATTCCAAATATGGTAGAAACGAAATATATCTTGGTCTCAAAACGAAAACTACTGTGACCTAAAATTGTTTTTCTATTTGCTGGTCTTTTCTCGATTTTTGCTCGACTGGAGGAGGGGAAAAATAACATGGTCGTCAAAAATCAATAAATTTATGGGTTAAAACCTAAAATTAAAAATTAGTAGTTTTCGTCATCCTTTGGTCACGACCGACAGTGTTTCTTTTTCACTGTAATGCTTTATTAAAAACCAGTACACCTGTCCTCTCTATAAGCATGAGCAACATACAATGAGCTTTCCGCTCTGCTCGGCGTCACAGGCTCGGACAGTCGTATCCCGGCTTTTTTTTAGAAAAAGAAAAAGAAGAAGAAGAAGATGAAAAGTTAGAAAAATAAATGGAGGTGAGGGGTCAGGTGCGGTCTTTATACATATGCAACCGTCCGGTGGGGGGAGGAGCTGCGCCATGTTGTGCTGTGTCGAGGCGGAGCCCCGTAGGGACTGTACCATCAGAGGAAGGGAAAGAGAAGGGAGTGTAGGTGCGGAGTGGTTCGGCTCACCTTTTATCACGGAATAATAAAAGTGGGAATAGAATGGAAAAGCGACAAAAAAAGCGATAAAAAATGTGAACCGATATGAATTTGAATAGCGCGCCAGGGAGTACTGCAGCTCTTCGAAAGAAATATTTCGACAGATTCCATCTGTTTCTCCTCTAGCAATTCAGAATAAGCCGAATGTAGCCTACGATTTTTTAATTGTAGTAGTACTATCGTACTATCGACACAGAATGTAGCAGAAGGAATACATTTGGAACTCCCAGCTCGAGCATGTGCCCAGCGGTGTCACCTAGGAGAAGTGCTCTGCCAACCTGAGGCCACTACTTGCGTGTTTCTTGACACAGCACCGCCAGAAACCAAAATGTCATGGTTCCAACTGACAGGAAAAACTGTACACAGGCAAATATAAAAGATAGTTTTATGAACACATTATGCGTTGCTTGGTTTTAATGCTATTTGTGAAAAAAAAACGCATTTTACAGGGTTGATCAGTTAGAAAGCCTTAACAGACTCAGTTTTGATTGGGAGGGCATTAGAAGTTGTATATAATAAATTGGATGCTCTTTTTTGGAAGTGTTTTTTTGAAATTATTTTTCAAGTTCATAAAATTATTTTTCAAGTTCAACGAATATTCGCCAGAACACACTTGCGAGTTAAGATTTCCTTTCCTTTTCTCTGGCTGGTGGCAGATCATTTCCTAAAATATCCCCTAGTTTCTAAAAGACTGCCACAAACGTGAGGTAATCAGCACTTGATAAGACAACAACGCACAACTCGAAAATAAGCAACTAGGCGTTACCAGAAACGAGAATAATCCAGCTTAAAGACTCACATTAGGCGACAATTACGAGATAAATATGTGACCATCGGAAAGCACAACTAATTATAATTAGTTTCGTGAAAATAAGAATCAGATTCGAATTTTGGAAATGTTACAAAGGGAGAGATTCATGGCACTTCCAGCAGAGAAAATCTGGATTAGGAATAATAGAACACTAAAATTTTCAGATGAAGGTCCGAGCAGTGTTCACTATGAGCTATTATAGTTCAATAAGCCCTGTTTGATTGAAAATTAAAAACGATCTGTTGCTCACCTATGCAGAGTTTCAAAAGTCTACAAAATTTAAAGTGCCCATTAGACAAGAAACTGTAATTGCGATAGAAATCAATTTTGTGCTAACAGTCGTTTTTGGGTGTTACAAATAGGTGACAAGCTTAGCGTGTTTATATGAAGATGTCTTTTTCCGGATATAAACTAAAATGCAAATGGTGGTCGGGTGTGTAGCTGTCCTTGTCCTATGGCAATTCCAGCTAGTGTGTGGTAAAATGGTTTTACTCGTGTAGATGACACGTGTGGTATCTCAAACTTGGGTAATTAAACCATTTGTATAAGAAAGAGTTAACAAAGTATACAAATTATAACAAGTAACAAAGTGAAGAAAGAAAGAAAGAAAAAGGGGGGAAAAAGGTGGAGGACGGTCTTGGGCGACCGTCTCCTGTTGGGACGAATGTAACAATGAGAGATGGAATGATGGAAGCTGGTCGTCAGATCGTTGGGGGCGGAGTCAAAAGTCTTGGGACGAATGCGTCATGGTGAGAGAGCGTTGGATGGAGTGAGAGATCGTTCGAGGGTGTAAAGTACAGTGAGAGCGAGGGTGTTAGGAATGAGCAATGATAAAGGAAATAGAGAAATGGAGGAGAGGATTATACATAAATAATATAAAAAGAATACGAAATTTATAGAATTGAGTATAGGATATCAATGATAATCTGTTTTTCATCTTGTTAGTCAAAATAAGCCAAAATCTAATTATAATCTACGAATTTCTTGTATTACTTCAGTTGTAGCAGTACTAAAGAATAGAATGGTACTATCGGAACAGAATATCAGAAAGTATACATTTGGAGCTCGTGACTCGAGTATGTGTCTAGTATCACCTAGGATGAATGCTGTTGTCTGTGCTAACGTGAATCCGCTACTTGTGCTCTTCACGACAAACAGCACCACCAGAAACATAAAAGACATGACTCCCACTGTTTTGGAAAATATATGTCAAGAATTCTTGGAGTTAAAGTTGACGAGCAAAAAACTTTTTCTGTGTTAGTTTAACAGCTCGTCAACCGAAACCATTAGATTCCTCTCATGATTTTACATATAATACTAGGCAAGTTGCGAGCTAGCTTATCAAAATTAGAGCCGTTTATAAAATATTGACGAGCACCTTCTAAGCGGATCCAAGAATTCAAAACATGTATGTTTTGGAAACCCCACACAGACACCTATAAAAGGTACTTTTTATGAGAACTCATGAAGACAAATGAGAACACTCGAAATGTAAATATTTAGGTTTTCCTTTCAGAAAAAAAGGAGCTAGAGGTTCTTGCTTGAATGTATTAGAGAAAACTTGTGTATCCAAAGTCACAACTGTCATGTGCATCCCACTGGCTTTTTTAATGCAATCGCATTTCTTTTCTAATGAGAAAAAAAAAACATATTTCCGCTTTATAAGGAGCTAGATAAGTTATTATGCTTCATGGAGTAAGAGGAATAATTCGAAAAGAAGATAAATGTTTTATGTAAAGAACAAGATTAAATCACACAATTGCAAATAGAAGATACTTGTTTCAAAACAATAATGACATTCATGTATGTTGGTACTATTAATTACTTGTCCGATCGGTACGGAGAGAAATTTATGTTATTTACCTAAATATCATAAAGCAACGGGAGAAATCACTTTCCGTAAAATGACTAAAACGGATATCAGTATTCGACAATAAATTGAAACAGTGTCTTATAGAGTCGTAAATACACTTTTAGTACTGTTTCTGTTGCGACTAAGAAACCGTAACTTTATTACGTTATTAAATGGGGAGATAAAACGGTACGATTCTAACACGATGTGTGAACACTACACCATCCATCCAACGTAACTTCAAAAAGACTTCTCCAAATTTCCCACCCCCTCCTTTGAAGAACAACCGAAACTGAAATGTTTTGGGAATAGAGAATAGAGGAAAACCGAGAGAAATAAATTTGGACACAGTTAAAAAAAAACAAATCGTGGTCCTATAAAAAAATCAAAATTTTTTTCAATAAAATACATTATGTTTATCAAAATTTCAGCGCTGAAAACTACCGTACCAGTTCGGACACATCACGAGTCATTCTCTCTTCTGGAAACGAGTACGTAGCTGCCGGAAGCTCGAATGGCTCCATCTTCATTTGGAATAAACACAGCGCCAAACTCGAGAAACGACTGACAAGCAGTTCTGAGTGGGTTTTATTTAGAAAAATTGTGATTTATTTAATGTCCTATCTATGCTGCAAAAATAGATTCTTCGGTACGGAAAATCATCCGATTAAGAAACAGTTCTGAAAAATTTTTTGTTTTCGCAAGCCATTCCTGATTGAATGATCTCGAGAATTAAGTATTTATAGATCTTTATTCGTATAACTTTCAGAAATGCCATCTTCTCTTTGTCCTGGAACCCGACCGGATATGGTCTGCTCTCTTCCAGCAAACAAAAAGTTGTCACCCTCTGGAAGTAATTTTTTGTGTACTTGTATATTTTTGTTTTCTTCCACTCATACTGTAAATAATCCCTTTAACACAAAAAAAAATCATTTTATTTTTAGAAACTATCTAGCGATTCGAATTGTGCCCCTATGTTTCTCACATTGTTTTTCATGTAAAATGCACTTTGCCACAAAAATTGGTCACTTCTTTCTGAACGTCATGACTCTTCAATGAATTTTTTTATGAAGTTGTTTTTAGGCATTTTTAGACAAATTTCAGATTAAACATGCCCCATCGGGTCAAAACGAAAAATTCTCCGGCCCGACCCGAGTTAGGTTTTGAAATTTCAGTCCGAGGACCATTATTCTTCCTAGAATTTGGAAGTGTTGCTCAGTACCAAAAAAGAGACCATCTTCAAGAAGACTGTTGACTATTGTGTCATCTGCTTCTGAAATGAAACCGTGCTCGCTGTTTTACAAGACACGCATTGAAAAGCAAAAATTGATTCATAACATAAATGCTACTATCAAAATAAATTATTTTTCTAAAATAAATAAACGAGAGAAACCGCCAAAAAACAACGATGACAAGTGAAATTTCGGGATTGAGAATACAAATTATGGCAGAAAGCAGTTGTAAATAAATAAATTATATCTACATAATCGGTACGGATGAGCGAGAGATTTGGGTGATCGATCCTATTCCAGCGAAGTGAGCATGAGTAGTTGTTTGAGCACTTTGGTTTGCGATGTTTCACGTATCTCGCCGGCCAGGAACATTTCGTCGACGACGGTGTACACTTTGTAGAAGTTGAAGACCAAATCGAGCTCGCACACGTTGTGGAAGTATTCATTGAGCACCTGAAAATGAACAAAATGAGGTTGAGGTTTGTAGAAAGGTTATAAGATGGCATTGATCGGATCGGCCTCATCATCCCTTATCAGTTTTTTCGATTGAAATCTTGGAAATATTGGATGATAGAACTGTTATTGAAACCAGCGGAGACGCTGAATCTATTTCTGACCCCTGTCAATGTTATCGTATTGAAACGCTTTGTTGCCCATAGTTGTAACCTAGTCCAAAGCATCAATAGCTCTGGAGCACGTCCATGTCATGAAGCGCCTCTGAGTACCGTCTTGACATTTCTGAGGCAGCTAGACTGACAGGATCTGCGAAACGTCCGATTTGGCATAGCCCGACCCGTAACAAGGTCGTAGTACGCCATTAGATCAAACCAGTTTTCAGATTTTCATTTTCAGGACCTTTCTCCGATCTGAGAGAATCTGGACACCAGACCTTCGGTTCTGACGAACTAGTGGCCCGTCACCTATTTTCCAACTATCCAGTTTGTAGTCAAACACTCACCTCAACAAAATTATGAATGGCTTCCAAGTAGTAGAGATTATTGTCGGTGATATCCACGCAAATGCAGAAGTAGAGTCCGGCGTAACGGCGATAGACAATTTTGAAGTTGCGGAACTCGACGAAGTTGGTGTGTTTAGCGTCGCGAACCGTTACACACGCGTGAACCTCCTCGATAAGCTTCTGTAACGGAATAATCAACTGCTTGTATTCAAATAAAAACTCACTTGTTTCTCATCGTCATCAAAATGCATGTACCATTTGGCCAATCTCGTCTTTCCGGCGCGGTTTTGGATGAGGATAAAACGGATCATCTGAAATAATTCAGATATAATTGTCGGAAAATGTTTGAAAATGCTGAAACTCTTGAATACATTTATTTTTCCCAACCGGAAATGAAAGAAAATTTGAGAAAACAAAAGGAAAGAAGGCGTAAAAAAGAACGAAAACCGAGAAAATTGATTAATCGATGAACAAGGCCCCCGTAAATGCGTTTTGTGTCTCTCTTCAAAGAGAACACTCTCTCGCCTCCCGCGTCTCTTCTCTGCGAGACCCGCCGGCCGTAAAAATATGCCTCCCTTTAACCTCTTCTCTCTTCAACACACACAACGCGAGCGCACACACACACAGACCTGGGAAAGACGAGCGTGGGGAACGATATTCGTATGGATGACCACGTTCGTATAGTAGAGAAAAAACCGAGGATTACCAAAAGATTTCAAAAAGCGCAAAACGGTAATGATGAAACATTTTCCGCCTCGCGTGATCTCTGGTGGAAGGAGAACCAAAACTATGATGCGAAACTGGTTAATGGGAGCAAAAGATCGAGGGAATACCTTTTCTGTGATCTTCAAAAGTCAAGATGACCCAAATATTTGAATCTCATTGGATATGGAAATTGGATATGAGATGATTAAGGGAGCGTGAAATCAGCACAATACTAGACTTTGTTTTTGGGTGTGTTGGGAAGCAGAACGCACAAAAGGATCGTATTTTGTTGTTTCAAATAGTTTCGTGTTCGTAGTTTTATCGTCGTTTGTAGCAAAAAAGATCATCTCTTGAACTAGATAATTCTGTTTAGATTAGTGAATGACTAGTGAATGAACAGCTAGACTGGTTGTAGACTACCGTAATCCCTCAGAGATCTAAGATACTAGTGTTCTTCAGACTTTTGAGATGTAATGGAATTTCAAAAAATGAAGAAGTAGAGAAGAACGTCTGCATATTTGAAAACTGAGTGTTTCAACTTTGGTGTGGTCTAACATCCAGGACAAAGTAGGATTGCAGTTCAAAGTTTTAAAATAAAAATAGAAAGTTTGTTTCGTTTGTTTCAATTTGGTTTCTGGAAATCAAACAAATACCAAACGCCACTTAACCATTCTTTCAGATCGAATTCCTCTCGGTTACTGTCAGAGGTTATAAATATATCTAACTAACAAAATTTTTCTGCTTATATGATAAATATGATATTAGTAGACAGTTTTTGGTATCCTTTACTAAAATCGATAAATAATTGGCTCAAAGTTGAGAACCACTACGAACTGAGAACACTAGTGTTAAAATTTATGCTAATTATGAATTACCATCAAACCTATAACAGAAGAGCAACAATTTCAACACATTTTTTCTATTTTCAGAAATGTGTCAAAAATTGGTTACAAAGCTTGTCACATTATCAGCTCACCTTATCAAGAACATTTTGCTAGTTGATTGTTTTTGGTGAGCTCTTCAAAAAAATTTAGACGGATTATCTTAGAATTAACGTTCAGATATCCTACTTCAGGTTTTAGACATTCACAGTTCAAATAATCACAATTATCAAAGTTTCATAATATGGAGTTTTGAAGATAACAAATTTTTAAAAAAATTAATGAAAAAGAGTTGCACTTGTAGCATTAAAGTTTGAGGTGCGGCGTCGTTACCAGTTGAATCATGGTTCACTTAAAGTTGCGCCACCGAACGATGCCATACTTGAAAGTGGTACCACCCGCGGTGCAAACACGGATTACTGTGCACCGTTAAGTCAGAACAAAAACTGTAACTTCAAAATATTCTGAAAAATTTCTTCAAAATATGAACTCTGATCCCAGCTAAGATATGTTTCTGGGTTCAAATGTTCTCAAACTTTCCCTCCAGGTTGACCCTCTGTTCTCTACTCAGGATTTAGCGAATTTCCCTAGGTTCATCAAAACGATGCCTATCAGAGCAAACCAAAGTCGCTTCCGCGATTTCCCTTATTTTCACTCTCACCTTGCATCACACTTTCCATTGTTATCCCCTCTATGAAGATCCTTCCTGAATTTCATAACACTCTGTTGTCCACATTTAAGGTGAGATGAGAAAGGGAAGTGTCCACACAGACACTTCTTCCCTTGTCCGCGTAAACCGATTACAGAGTTTTGATTTACTGCTGTCGTGTTCCGTTTTGCACTATTAATCCACTTTTTTTCGAAACCCTGCTTCAAGGGGGATTTTCCCGCCCCCAAAAGGGGATATATATTTATACCAGAGACAATCATCCCATCTTGAACTTTTTTTCCAGTCCGGTTGGGCTTGTATGTTTTTTGTTTCATCAATAACTTTAACACCACTACAGTTGATGAATAAATTGTCGTCAATGGATAACGTGTCACATCAAATGCTCAAATCCGCATTAAATTCAACTGACCGATAGTAGAGGAATGTCCTGTCTGACATCTACAAAGTCCAGTTCACTATTTTTCGATTAGCATTATTATTTTGCCCCGAGGCGCCTCTCGCACCGTTAGGTTAGCCGCCGTATGGCTACTGGTTTTCCGGGGAGGGCGCGTGTAAATGTCTATGGGCAGGTAAAAGTTTTTGCGAAAAAGCCTTGCCCACTGCGTTCAACCACCCCATTCGCATCCTCATATCAATTACAATTTCACTGTATCCACCTCATCCGTTATAACTATTATTCTCCATTACTTTGGCACGCCTCCTTTTCGACGGATTCTTGATTCACCACTTGCTTCTTTTTTTGCCCTTTCCTAGTAGCAGAAAACAAATATCTTCAGAACAATTTTGTCGAGACTCCATCGTGGATGTATGGACTTTGTGCTCCTACTTGTTCTTATTGTAGCCACTGGTATGACTCAAATTACTGTAGTTTGTAATAAGCCAACAAATTTTAGCCCAAGTGAGGGCGAAAGTCTTCGAAGGACGTGTGGAGGGTCAGAAGATCGAGACAGATACAAAAATCTTCGAAATCGACAAGAAAAAACTACAGCAGTACTGGCAGTATGCTACAACAATGGCGATGATCAAGGTGAGAATGTGAAATTGGACCCGATTCTTTTTCTCATGAATCATAATCCAGTTGTTTTGTGATCTGCAAAGTTTTGAGTGTTTACTAAACATTAATACGGACATTGTGAAGTCAGTTTCATATTCACTTTATTTCAGGCTCATACCCGTTCTTCATTAAAATATCTCCCTCGAATCGAACAAATTGTTTTCGAAGAGTGTGTCAGGGAAGCTCAAACGGTGGTTGCTGTATCAAAGTGTGCAGTCAAAGTTCTAGATGCTAAAGAAAATGCAAAGCTCTACACCACAACACCACCACGACTTAATTTTCACAATCAACCAATTTTGAAACAAATTTATGTATCACCATCTAGAACCTATGTCGAGAAAGAATACCTAATCCCAACAGACAGTCAAAACATCACTTCTGCCAACCTCTATTACAGTCCTATACACCGTCAATGGGTTCAGAACCCTATCAGAAGGCAAATGCAGGCGAGGAGAAGGTTCAAAAGGAGAGATGAGATGATGGAAGCTTATGATATTTTCCTAGAAGAGCAGCGAAACTTGAAAAAAGCTGAGAATGCGCTCAAAAAAGTTGTGGAGGAGCCAATAGAGCGGAACATGTTTGGTCTTCCCCGTCATATGGCTATGCCTAGGTCAAAACGAGATATACAGGGTATGTGCCTGAAATTATTGATAATTAATTAGTTGACAATATTTATTTTTATGTTTTTCAGAACCAGTTCAGAACAAGCTAAATCTGACTCTACCGCCCATAGATCTACCAAAACTGGCCACAAAATACTTTCAAAGGATAGTAGGTTTGTCTCTTGAATTTGCGAAAAATGCAAAAAAGTTCGGTGCCTCATGCTGGAATCGAACCAGCGACCTTCTGTTTACTAGACAGACGCTCTGCCACTGAGCCAATGAGGCGGACGGGAGACGATGTGAAGAGAGTTGTGAAATAGCGCGGCAAGTGATTAGACGTCGCCGTCGCAGGCCGGAAGAAAATGTGGTGGGAAGAGGGGGGACGTGTGGTGGGAGACATACTCTGTATGGCACGCTTGTGTTTGAGCAGCTGTGTGAATTCAGATTGAAGCAATATTAAGTGTGTCAAACTTCGTTAATAAAACTCATAGAACGTATTAAAAAGATTTATTAGTCGAAAAACCTCTGTTCGAATTAGAATTATTCTGTAACTTCTCCAATATTGCTCTACACTGAACTTTGAGCTTAATTATTTCATTTTCTATGAAAGATATTAATAATCAGCAACTGTAAAAATGCTTGTGATGTTATGATGAACATTTTATCTGTTGCCAGTTTTTTTTGTATTTCTGTTACGTATTGAGATAATTGAGCTCAAAATACTAGAACTTTTTTCGTACATTTAATAGATTTAAAATGAGCTTTTCTGCTTAATTTTTTCTATTAAAAATCCACATTACTTTGTTGAGCTGCTAAAGCGGAAACTTGAAAATGTTTAGTTTTTCAATTTTTCAGGTGGCACCTCTGGACAACACGACCATCTAGACAGCATCCGTCGCATTCGAAACCACTATCTACGTGTCGAAAAATGCAATGGCTACTTCAAATTAATGAACGATGAAAATAAAAAGTACGTTATTGAAACAAAGTAAGGGCATAGATCACTTATACCGAACCGGTTCTCCCCCCACCTCCTCACTTTTTTCTCTCAAAACCGAGCGTCAATTGCTTGCCACACTTTGGTCATTTGGGATTAGCCATGATTAACGTCTCACTGTGACGATGACAAAACCCGAGCTAACTAGTAACCGATAGATGGTCAGTGGTTGTGAAATTCAAATCGAGATTGACAGGTGAACTTTTAAAGTGGAGCACTTATGCTCAACTGACACGTGGGCAATGGGAACGGAACTAGTTCTTTGCCGTATAATGGCCGTAATAGATATGGAATGGACACTAGTTTTTGCCTGCGGAAATACATAACTTGACTGTAGTTTGATGCGGACAATACAATCGCAGTTGGCAAATGTGTGCAGTATACAAAATAAAAAAGGAACTTCCCATGCCGGGAATCGAACCCGGGCCGCGTGGGTGAAAACCACGAATCCTAACCACTAGACCACATGGGACTACGAGTGAGTCTTTGTGTGAGACGTAGACACATGTGTCGTGTTCAACATGAGACACACAGGTGGTGAACTGAGTCAGCAAAAAAAACGGGAGTTAGAAAAAAGAAAAGAAAAAGAGTGACGCTTTTTCAGAGTGTTCGACCAGCTGAAGCTTCCCATCAACAGCCGGGCGCCAAAGATAGAGAATGAGAACGATGCTTTTCAGAAAATTGTGGACATTATAAATCAATTTTCGGTAGGAGGCATTATTCAATATTTAGTTGAGTAACAGTGAATTACAGGCTTCCGAAGTTGCCCAAAAGAAGTTTTCATTTTTATCACCCAGAATTTTGTCTATCATGCCAGAGGGAAAAGTCAAAAATCGGTTTCTCTCTCCAACACTGTTGTCTTTCCAAAAAGACGGATTCTTTTCCCTGCCAGATATTTTTGAGGTATACAAATAAGCTTGTGGTTTTTTTCTATAATTAAAACAAATCAGATTGTTTCTTCAAACCAAAGGTACCAGCAATTGATGCTCGAAGCAATTCTAGACTTGAGCGGTGCTGGAACTGCTATGGAGGAGCTTATCGCAAAAATTGGACCAGAAATGGATTTCATGGAGCAAGTACAGTATCCAATGGTTCAACAATTGAGCAGACAGGATATCAGATGGCTCAAGTGAGAAAATGCAATTAAAATAGGAAAAGCATTTTGTTTTCAGGGCACGTCAATTATTCACCCAAGAGCAATCAGAAGAATACAAAAAAGACGGTTTTGCTCATCTGACGGAGGACCAAGTGAAAATGGTGTATGCTGGTGAGTGTGTATCAAAAATTGGACCACTCAGTCCTTTAAAATTCAAAATGTTAAGCACTTGTTCATTTTTTTTTAATTTGTCGCCCACCGTACCAATCGAAAATTTGTCACATTTTGACTTTTTCGGTGACAAGTTTATGATAATAAAAAAGTATTCAAGACCTTTTGCATTTTTCTATGCATTTGAGGGTATACTGGACAAAATAAAAGCTTCGGTTTTGCAAACGTCGACTTTTTTGCCGAGTTCCTGGAATGCAGTTTAGAACCAAAAAATGCCGAAAACTTCAAATTTTTCTCTGAAATGAGGGTTGCGGCACAATTTAAATCAATTACCTTGCTTTGTTGAATTTGTACAGACCGCTGTCAGTTACAAAAATAACTATATTTATGCTTTTCGTATTCTAACATTTTCAGACAAATCATGTCGGGCTATTTTTTTAGGATTTCAAAATTGAAAACTAGAAACCCCAAAATATGATTTCTTTTGTCCGGTACTGAACAGAACTTCTATCCAACCTCATTTCATTCAGACGATCCATCCAGCTACATCCCAATTACCAATATGACCCGAGCTGATAGAGATGCTCGAATAGAAACTGCTATCCGAAAACTAGCTGCTGAAGGAAGACCACAATGGCCGTTTTGGAATAGTCCTAAACGAGTGAAAAGAGCAGATGGGGGAGGTGGCCATGATGGACACCCTTCGATTCCAAATTATCCGGAAGGAGAACATATTGGTGATGTGGAATATTTAGTTCTCAAGGTAAATTTTGTTTCGAATCCACGATTTTATATAATTTCAACACAAGTTTTAGCCTCACGCGTTTGCCAATCTCATAAACTTTGGTGTCTCCATGGAAGCAATGGTACTCTCTCCCCATGCATTCGTGTCGGAAATCATGCGGCCTGAAGCTTTGAAGGTATCAATCCACAATCATTTTTCAATCAAATTTTGTGATTTTTCAGCTTGACGTGCTCTCTCCTCGTGCCTTCATCGCTACAGTACTCTCTCCATCCGCGCTTATTGCCCGAATCCTCTCTCCAACTGCATTCCGTGCAGAAGTCCTCTCTCCGAGAGCCTTAACCGCATGGGTTCTCTCTCCAGAAGCGTTGATTGCTGAAGTTCTTACACCACGATTCTTGGAACCTAGAGTTCTATCTCCAGAAGCTTTGGTTATCGACGTTCTCAGTCCTGGCATCCTTGCACCCCACGTTCTCTCATCAGAAACTATTGGTGTTATGATATTGAGTCCCAATATCCTATCTCCTAGAATTGCCAGTGATGAAAAGTTCCTGGTGGAGGTAGGTTCTAATTTCCAGAAGTCAATTCACTCCGTATTTTATAGGTTTTATCCCCTCACATTCTCGGTGGCCCACATAGTAAAGAAGAAGAACATAGTAATATCGAGATTGGTTCTGGCTCTCATGAAGGGCACTCGCACCACGATGCAGACCACAAGAATGAGCACAACACCACACCTCATGCCGACCATCATCAATTACATCGCTCCATATTTCATCACGGAGCGCCGACGTCTATAAGATCACAATCTCAAATTCCTCCGAATCCGTTTTCCTTCAGATTCAGAAAACGTTGAATGGGTCCAACCTATTTTTGTGTAATATTAATGTTATGTTTCTAATTTTCTTCGTTTCACCGCTTCGTTTATTCTCTTCTTCGCAACAATTTATCAGGTACAAATCCACTTGACCGTCTAGGACAGTACAATTACTTCAAATGCCTTTTCACTGTTTTTTCTCTCCTAACTCTTCAATTTTTTTTGAAAACGTCAAAGGTTTTGTCACATTGTGACAAAATAATGACACTTGTTTACACTCTTTTCTCCAGCTATTTTGTTCTTTAAACCGGTTTTAACTTTTCTGTCTCTCGTTTTTTCGCTTTGCTTTTTCGTGCTTTGTGTTCTAAATTATTTTGCTTATGGGTTATCTTATGAAAATGCTCTCATCTTGTTCTAGAGCTCAATAAATTATTGATAATGTGGTTCATTTTGATTAAAAATTGACAAAACCATTCAAATAGAAAAAGAACATCAGAATAAACAGTGAAATAATTGCACAGGTGATTCCAGCAAGTGCAGGTGGCGTTTTCCTACTACCACTTTTCTCTTCAGGACCTTTAACTTCTGGAAGACGTGAAAAATGAAAGAAGAATGAAAAGTGAGAGAAGGATTTTAGAAGACTCACCAACGCTAATGGTAGAACACGTGTTGTGACCTCTTCCAACTGTGATGAGATAGTCAGGTCGGTCAGTGCTGAAACAGGTAGTGATCAGAGAACATGGCTTATCTACCGAATGAACAAGATTACAACTTACTACAGCGGGAACTTTGATAGATAAGCTTTGCGTATCAGTTCTTCTCGATAAAGAACCGGATCGAATTCTGAGGTAGAGATGTAAGCAGGATAAGGGCCATCAGACAGTATAGTTGATGATCTTGGGGTGATGATCTATATTAATTCAGAAGGCTTCAAGTAAAATATTGACTAACCTGTATACACGAAAAAGTAGACGGTAGTTTGGACGGCATTTCAAACAGCGGAATCCGGCAAAAAAAAGAATGAGTCGCTTATTTTTCTTCCGAGGAAAAAACAAAGTAGTTTGAGGGTGGTTAAGAAGGTGTAGTGTTGGAAACGAATGACGACGAAAACGGGACGGTGGCATATCTGGCTACTCGTGAGATTAGACGGGAATCGCTGGAGTCATTAGAGAGGATCAACGGGGAATAAACGGGATAAACATTTTTGTAAAATCTTGAAGGGATTTGAAGTAAGGCTAACAGGGAAATGAGTCAGTGCGAACGTCCAGCTAAGAATGTTGTAAAACTTTCTTCTCTGAAAAACCATTTGTTTCGAAAAATTGTTTTTCAGAGATGTCAAAAAACAGATTCTATCTATTTCGATTATTATTGAAGCTAAAGTTATTGACAACTAAGAACTATTTGAATGACTGCAACGGTGTTGATCTGAAAAATTCTCCTACTATCGTTTCAATTTAATCTCTATCAATTTATATTTTTAACAGTACAATATAGTTTTTTTGATATATTCATTTCTTACTTGCTTAATTTAGAAAAATTTATTCTAGCTTTTTTCATGCAAGATTCCCAGAATTCTGGATTTGGCAAAATTCATCTTCGAAATAATCAGAGCGAGAAAAATAAACAAACATTAGATTGGATCTTTGATTAAATCCGTTAACTTGCTGGAGTCGAACATCTTTTCAATTTATTGCTCCTCCTCTTTTTGAGAATCTTCGTGTACACAGAATCACAAACACAATTTTCCTAAAACTACGTTTTTTGCCCAACTCTGAACGATCATTTTTCGAGTAGTGAATGTTGACACCATACTAACTGTTGACATTAGCATTCTCCCTATTTTCTACCCGTTTCGATTCTCTATTCTTCAATTTTTGGCGTCTTATTTGATAACAATGAGTTGGAATCAAATTTTAGCGTATGATAAAACATATGTGCGGGTGTATGGGAAGTGGCTTTTGTGCAGCTGTTTCCGTTTGTGAGTCAGTCTCCGTATCCTACGCGTTTTTCGGCTTTTTATACCTTCATATTTTCAGAATTTTTTCTTATTTTTCTTTCAGTTTGTAGCCATTAGACATCTGAATCATTTCCAATTACTCTTGTTTTCAAATCCATTTCTTTTGTTTTTTTACTTTTCACATTGAGCCGCCGAGCCAACCGCCTGTTCTTCTCGTCACAATAATTCATTTTTTATTCCCAATCACTCGATCGACCCTCTGAACCCTCACGTGAGAGATAGGAAAAGCAGAAAACGATGATGGACAGGAAAAAAACGAATTGGGAAAGCCAACCGAGTCCTCACCAATGCCACTTCTTCCGCCTCCTGTTCACACAAATCGCACAAAAACGTTTTTTGCATCTCTGAACTTTTATTTTTCAAATTTTTCCAAATACCATAACTACGAACTAGATAGAACATCGAATGTTTGGGTACAAGTATAGAATAACATAGTGAAAATGATATCAAATGATAGTAGTAAAATAGCATCATCGAAAAGTCTGTGTGATCAGTTCATCCTTCATACGGTTTCAAAACAAAATAGTAAGTGTTTGTTTTTGATCGATGATCTCACGATATATCTATAAATTCCGAGAAAACGTGATCTGTCTGATCATATACATAGTTTTACTATTAAGCACTCGAAAGAAAAGTAAAATTCTCATCGTAGTGATAGGTCAGTTTTCCGATCATTTCTCAAAGTGTCTCTTTTTTAAAGTACTCGAGTAGTGTAAATCAGAGAGGAGGGTGTCTTGAATGATTCTTATCACTTTTTTGGTTTTTGTTACTTTCATTCTTATCCATTATTATTTATTTTTGTCTCATAAAATTCTTGAAAAACCCCATTCAAATTGATGAGTCTTATTCTTTTCGCTTATTTGTACTGTAATTTTTTTAATTCCGAAAAAGTTCATTTTTCAAAAATTTCTACAATGCAACAACTCTAAATATTCTGAAAATTAGAGAACTCTGAAAATTCTGAAAATTCCAAAAAATTGAAAGAATACTTGTTTTTCGATTTTTTCTTGAATTTTTTTTCACAATTTGCTGCCTAATATCTTAATTCTCTTTAACCCAGAAAGATAATAAACCGAATATTCCTAACTTCCTCACTCCGTTCCAATGGCCTACTCTCTCTTTTTGATATCCAGGTTTTCACGGCATTTTACTATTATGAAAACGCGGCGCAGCCATCCATAACCCAATCCGTAAGCCGTTGATTTGGAAATAATTGTCGATGTAGTAGTTGCCCGGCGGCGCCAAAGTCATTTTTGTGGATTGGTGCCAATTCCAACACTTTCATTGTTCTTCATTCCCCCACTTAATTCCATTTACATTCTTCCTCCCTTTTTCTCCTTTTTTTCTCGAAATCACTGTAACCAATTGGTTTTGTGTTGTGTTAGTTGGCGGGTCGGGCAAAGAGAGGCGCGAAACGTGTGTTGTAATAGAACAACAGATTTTAAGAGGAAGAAAAAAGAAGAAGAAGAGGAAGAAGAAGCACATATAATTAGAGAAGCTTTTGTTGTTCTTGAAAAGAGTTCATCACAACAAGACAAACTTTAGTTCTGTTAGTTCGTTCTGCCCTTCAAAACTGGAAAATGTTGATTCTTCTACAACTACAATTTTCATTTAATAAGCAGCCTTTTTTTCTTTCTTCCCCTTTCATTTCCTTATATTTTCCCAGAGTGATGTGAGTTTTTAAATTTCTTTTTTGCCCCTCCTCACATCAACATCATCTACTTCTTTTTGAATATTTAATTCTGAAAATTAAAAAATTCCAGATTTCAAAAAAGCTAAAAAATGTCTCAAGTGCGGACTCGCACGTCGTCAAAATCTCGTACACGGCAACTTTGGAAAAAGGTGAGTTAACCCCTCGGGAAAAATAGAAAAAAACAGTGGGGGTTAAAATAAAAGAAGATTTGGGCGCTCTTCAGCCCGAAAAAAAAGTTCAATTGAAAACCGCCTCTGTGTTGTTTCGCTCAATTTTTTTCAACAATTTTACTCCGCTCTGGCAAATAATTGGTTGGAAAAAAAACGTTTTCAAGATTGGCTTTGAGGAAACAATTGGTGGCCCACTTGGGACTTTTTTTTTTGAAGAAAAGCGACATTTTAAGAAAAAGTACTCTTTTTTAATCGCTTTCTCACCGGTTATAGTTTTCTTTCCTAATAATTTGTTAGTTTTCTCTCATTCCTTTCTTCCTATTCCTCAGAATTTTGAATTATTCATGAGATATCTCAGCAAGTTGTTGCATTTTTTTCCTCTGAGAAAATTGGAAGTTTTTTTTAGTTTTTTCTCTTTTCATAGACGCAAAAAACACTACTAAATCCGATTATGATGCAAAAGGAATAGTATCTGAAACTCGATATTCTTAGTATAGCTCGTGGAGCTCTACACAGAGCTCGTTTTTTATTGGTTTCAATTTTCCTGTCCTCTCTAAGTCTGTGGCTCCGTTAGTCATGGTCTTTACTTATTTCGAAATTCCAACCATGTTTACTTTCTGACCATTTAAAATCGTCGATAATTTTTTTTCTTCGCAGCAATGATGACTCAAATTCATCCGCCCACTCCAGATACATTTTTTGGTCGCCCTACAAATTCCATGATTTTCAGAGACGTTCCCGTTCTTGACACATAAAAACATGTTGTTTTTTCATTCTAGTATTCTCTTTTTCTTCTCCCGCGCTAATTGATCAGTCACTTTTTTAGAGCTGTCGAAGCTCCAAAAAGTTGTTTTTTTTGTTTTCTTTGGATGATGTGATCCCGTCTAGAAATTGTTGGCAATTATACATTCAGTCACTTTTCATAAAATCAAAAAGTCTGGGTGCAAGAACGAGGGTGTGCATTTCGGTGCGAACGCAGAGTGAGAGGGATAGAAAGAGCACAAAAATCTGTGAGCTCCTCACCTCGGGAACGTTGTGTCTTGAGGCGATGAGAGAGACCACACACAGCTGTTTGGAACACAGAGAGCCGCTGACGGGGAGCTTATCTTGTGCTGTTGGTGTTTTCTTTTTGCTTCTTTGAGACCAGAAACTTTTTCATTCAGAACATCTCAAATTTCCACCAGTTAAGGATACTAGGCTCGTTCTCCCTCTTCATTTTTCAACTTTTTGTGTGCACAAACGTCATGATGATGCTGATTTTTTTTCAAACAAAATGGTGAATCAGCATTTGCATTTCGCCGAAATTCGAGAGTTGTTTCTGTTTTATTTTCTCTAGGGTACATTTCCGGTTTTTGACCACTATGTTCTCTTTTTTCTGCTGTTAAGAACTATTTGATATATGAATAATATTTTATGTAGAAAAGTTGTTAGTGCAAATGTTGGGCCCTCAAAGCTATACCAATAACAGTATTTGCTCTCTTTCACAGTGTCAAATGCAAAATATCAAAACCAATCAGCGTTCCCTTCACATTCCACTAAACATTTTTATTTTTCTCTTTTTTTCCCTTTTTTTGAATTCGCTCAGACACTTTCCATGACCACCAACAAAGCCAATAATCCTTGGTGTTGGAATAATCTATGGAACTGACAAACGGGCCCAAAGTCTTTCTTCTGCTTTCATTTTCTCGTTTTTTTTGGTTGTAGAAAATGCAAAGTTAGTGTAAGGAAGAAATTCCAAAAAAGGGAGCAAGAGCCTTCTCTCTTCCAAAAATCGGTGAAAAAAGGGGCTTTATTCTGTTGTGAAGTAACGTTTTTGTTGCAAGTGCGCACATTGCCGCCTGCTCTTTTCTTCTTTTTCTTCTTCTTCTTTTCCATTCTTCCCGCCTTCTTTCTTCTCCATTTGCACATTTCAACACACATACTAGGCACCCCTGAGTTGCGAATATAAGAAAGAGATATGTGCGGTCAAGACTAGGAGACTTAGGAGGAATGTCCCGTTTTCTGAATATATTTCATTTTGAGAGCAAGAGGCTTACTCACCCCTTTCTTCCCTTATTACTATTCCAGTAGTCCCGACTCTTCTGTTCTCTTGTTTTAGACATCATGTTATTCTATTCGCTTTTTTCAGATGGGCGGTGTAATATCCTTCATCTCATTACGACATCACAACGAAAGAGATCTAACTCCGAGTAAACAGGTGAGAATAATTGTTCCAATAATAAAACGGCCTCTGATCTTCTCTATAATTCAGGTTCGCACCAGAAACGGTCTCGTTGAAGGATTCAGAATTAAAATCGATGATGAGAAAGAGGTTGATCTGTTCCTTGGAATTCCATTCGCCAAACCTCCAGTAGGCGATCTACGTTTCAAGAATCCCGAACACACTGATGATTGGGACGGTGTCAGAAAATGTGTGCGATTCGGACCACGAGCACCACAAGCCGACTTTTTCTGGGAGCGCTTTACCCTTGGGGTCGGAAAAAGCGAAGACTGCCTCTACTTGAACGTCTTTTCTCCAACATGGAAAGCTGAAGAGGTATCTAATGGGGTATGTCAAGTTTGAAAATCTTTTTGAATGGATTACTGTAGATCATGAGTATTATTTTAGCTTCATCCGGTAATGGTTTATGTTCACGGTGGAGGTTTTCTGATTGACTCGGCTGTCAAATATGGTGACGAAGGAATCGCAAAGTGAGTTAATTTCGAAAGTTGTGTAGTATATTACACTATGTAGGCTATTGTGCAGTTTTTTCGAAACAGACAACTGAATTGCTCTCGAGCTCTGAGCACCACAGAATTTCTTTTCTCTTCCTTTTTTCTATTTTTCAAATTTAGAAATAGAAAAAGAAAAAAGGGCAATAGCACTTGTGCTTTTTTTTTCAGATATCTATGTCGTCATGGAGTGGTTGTCGTCACAATTCAATACAGACTGGGACTCCTCGGCTTCTTCTCTACTGGTGATCAAGTTTGTCCGGGAAACTTGGGACTTTGGGATATGACAATGGCACTTCAATGGGTCAGAGACAATGTGCACGCGTTTGGAGGGGATCCAAGAAAAGTTACTGTATTCGGCCAAAGTGCAGGAGGTGTCAGTGTGGATTTGTTGTCGTTAAGTCCACATTCAAGAGGTTGGTCACAGACATACCGTGCTGTAGGGCGCTATTTATTTTCTGAAATTTAAAATGAATTTTCTGGATTTCTGTAAAAGATATCAAAAATCCGTCAACTTGATATAATATCACTAACATTTTAGCAGTTGACAAAATTTCAAAATCTATCACAGGGATTGAGATCATTGAGCTCAAAGAGGAAGTATAGGCCTTTTCTTGTAACGTTTACGGTACCTACATTGTTTGAATTTTTCTCGATCTTTTGATAATCAGAACTGTAGCCGCAACGCTGATTGATCTAAAAAACGTGACTTTTTTGCAGATCTGTTCCACCAAGTTGTTCCAATGGCCGGAAATGGTGAATGTGAATGGAGTACCGTTGGAAAGAACAGGCTGGTCAATGCTTGCAGAGATTTTGCTTTTAGGAAGTGTTGGGATGAAAAACAGGCTAAAGGTTGGTTTTTGTGTCGTTTGGAATGATTATGACATCATTCTTATTTTGTTCCAGATGAAAATGCAAGTGAAAGCATGTTAGCCTTCTTACGAACCAAGAAAGAGAAAGAGTTTGAGAAGAGATTGCTCACTAGAAAAGGTGTTGATGTCTCCAAAATCGGACTTGATCTTGCACCAGTCATTGGAACGAAACCGAGTGATTTTCTTCCAAAGTCAATAGAAGAACTCCGAAAGGAAGCACCCAAAAAGAACATAATGGTCGGAACTTGTGAGCACGAGGGACTCCTTTTTGGTAATCAGGAAATCTAGAGGGACTAATACCATTTCAAATTTTTAGCTAGTCTCGGACCCAGCAATTTTGATGAAAAAGGAATTGACAAACTACTGGCTCTCTTGATCACTGAGGAAAACCATGAGGATTTCGAAGCATTGAGAGAAGAAGCAAAAACAATGTATCTCAAGAAGGAATCAGAGGATGAGGATGACAAAGAGGTAGCCGCCAGAGGATATATTCAGGTACCTTTATTAAAGACATCAAATCCCCAATTTCAGCTTTTTTTAGTTGTACAGCGACTTATTTGTGAATAACGGCACCTATAATTATGCGGAGAAGATGACTAAGCTGGGCAACAAAGTTTTCATGTACTCCTTCGATTACTGTAATCCAAGAAGCTTCGGAATTCTTTCACTTCGTGCTCCATTCAGAGGTATACATATCCTAAATCATAAAGACTATTTTATCAACGTTTTTTTCAGCTGCTACTCACTGTACAGAACTCGCTTACATTTTCGGAGTATCAATTGTCTTCAATTACAAGTACAATGAGGCGGATAAGACAATGCTCGACTTGATGACCAGAATGTGGACCAATTTTGCCAAATACGGGTAACAAAAATTTCAAGTTTATGCTTTTCGAGATTTCGAAAATTCCAGAAGCCCGAATGGTCAGTATGAGGACTCCACAGTTTTTGATTTCAAATGGGAACCCACCAACAAAGATGAGCTCACACAATTTTTGGCTATTAACGAGAAGAAGTGTGAAATGAAGACCGTCTACCAGGACAATAGAGCAGAATTCTGGAAAAAAATCAAAATCAGTGCCAAGAGTGGCTAATAAGTTCTGCGTATAATTGCCTGTTATTCTGGTTGTTATACTTATATAGTTCTGACTCATATAATCCTTTTAAACTTCCCTCGATCTGATGTTTTCTCCCCTTCTTCCATTTCCAATCCGGGTCAATTCTTGTCCACGTAGTTCTTAGAAGCATATTCGATTTCTATATTATTTTTGTTTCGACACTTGTAGTTGTTTGGTTTGACGGGTTTAATGGAATGACTCTTAATTAGTTTTAACATTGGCTCCATGCTAAATTTCCACTGCAATAAATATATATATATTTGGTTAAAACTTGTTTTATTTTTACAAATTGCTCAGAATTTCCAGAAGATCATTGCTCAGAAAACTTTATAGATAATTAAGGGTCAGGATTTGATCAAAGATCTTGATCTAATTTTTTTTTCAAAGTTTGGTTTCAGACTGGATCCGAATCGGAAAAATGTTGGGGGCTGAGCATGTTGAAAAATCTATTATCTGGCTTCTATTCTTGAAGAATATTTTGAAATTTCGCAACACAATTTAAGCATTGGAAAAACAATTCAATCATCAGTTTGCTTTTTCTTTCATCGAAAAGTCCAGCAAACGTTTTTTACAGATGTACCTGTAGCAGCACTTCAACAAACCACCTCAGAATTCAATTTTTATGCTTACTATTCCTAGAATCCTTGGAACCATAACACAACTTTTTTTTGAAAGAAAAATTCGGGAGGTTTGTGCGTGTATAACCAAATTTGCATAAATCATCCAAAATATTTCTGGGACCTTTTTCCACCCTATCTTTTTTCTGCCACGTTTTCACATTTCGTTGCTCTCCGCTAACATCTATCAGCAAATTCAGCAGATGTATGAACTGAAAGTGTCTCTAAGAATTCAAAAAGATTTGTTGGCTCAGCCATTGGGGATTAATTGTCCCATCGGCGTTGTCTTGTTGAGCTGTGCGAATTTATTTTGCTCTTCTCTTACTTCAGTGACGATAAAAATAGATTAATGGCAACATAGGTGCACGAAACAAGTGGCGATTGACACACACTGACCTACTCGGATCAGTTTTTTGATGTGCTAGATTTTTGCCCCGGGTCGTTCTCCGCGTCCGACCATTTGTCAATCAGATTCGATGTATGTTATTCTCTATGTTTCTGTTAACTGATAGATTGCTTCTAATTGACAGCAGCTCGAGATAAGAGATTTCTTCTTCCTAGATCAGAATCTGTAAGAGAAACTGGAGTGTTTTCATTTATCAATTTAATCCTAAAACAATTTTCAGGATTTGACATAATTACACTACCGGATAAAAATTAGCATAATTTAAAATGTTTAGCAATTTTGAAGTACTGAAAAAGAGGTTAAGAATTTTTTTCAAAATGTTCTTAGCGAAATTAAAGCTTTCGTGACAATTAATTTTTGTGACAATTAAGTGACAATTAATTTTGCAAATCCAACAATGCAAGATAAGCAATCATCAAAAGTTAAAACTCCGATTTCAATGCTAATTTTGGCATTTTAGGCTGTGTTTTAGTTAAAAACGGCAAATCTCGTCAGAACGGAGCTGGGAGAAAAACGTTTCAATCGCAAACAAGTATTTTTAATATGATATTTGTAGTTTGAACCTTTCAGAGCGATTAGAAAGTTTGGAACTTTTTCACAGGATTCGAAGTTCACTACATTTTATTGAATACGTTGAAATTAGATATTTTTTCCTGGTTCAGTATATAACACTTAGTTAACAAGTAAGAAACAACTCTGGAAACTTTTGAAATATACGTGTGTCCACATTCGATATATTTGCTCTTATTTTTTATTTCTGCAAAAGTTTGAAATTTTAAGAATTGCTCCCAACTTTGAAAACCCCGTCCGTTGATGTAGTGGTCTTTCTGTTGTTTTCGTTAGTCCCGAACAACTTCAAATTAGTTTTTTTTCTAGTTTTCTGTTTCAATGCTCAAAAAACTGAAAAGAAATTTCTAGTTGCCCAATGAGTGTTTTCAATCTTTCAGAGAGTTTTTATATAGGATGTGTTACCTAAAACTGGAGGAACACCGAAAAATTGTTCTCTAAGTTTGTAAATCGCAGCCACGCAAAAATCCAACGCCGGAAGTGCTGAGCCAATACCGGTTGAGCTATGCAGTATCGAACAGAAACATCAAATATCAAAAAAAAATTATTCCTCTTTTTCTGCGGAGGAGTTCTGCTCATGTTGAACAACTTTGAATACTTCGCATCAAAACATTTGCTCTTAGCAAAAAAAAAACTAGGGAATCCGTTATACTTCATCTCCAAATTGATTCCATGTGTTCTGAAACAATATGTATTTGTGAACCTCAGCATCTTATCTTCTCGCTAATCCCTTCCTTCAAAAAATCACAAAAAATTGAGTCGTACATCCCCTCGTTTCCTCCATCTATCCATTTTCCATTGTCCATATCTTCCCTAATCCGTGCATTCTAGAAATTCTCATTTTTCTTCCTTAACCGGCATTTGTGTACTCGTGTCCGGCACGGTGCTGGTTTGGGTACTGCTCGTGGTCTTTTTTATTTCTTGATCCTATCCGTTTAATAAACAAATATATAAATATCTGAATGCATTTGGACAAAGAACATGCTTTCATTCATATTTATTGAAATTTCCGTAGCCTCAAGCAAAAAAGCTGCTCCTCTCTATCTCTTAAAAAAACAAACAACATCTTCCATTTTTTTTGCGAGAGAAGAGCTTCGGGAACCATGTAAATTGGTCTCCAAATACAAACTTCTACTTTTCTTCATCTCAAACTGATTGTCCAATGAGGGTCGCATCTCTTCCTTTTCTCTCCCAGTCCCGGCTGCTCTGGTCTAACACAAAACTTTTCTTCATTTTCTTATCGAGACTGGATAAGTGCGTGTATGTGAGTGCTGGAGTTAAAAATAGCATTTTGCGGATCTATTTTGAGTAGAAAGAGCCCTTTCTCGTTTATCGAATTCCGTTCTTGCTGTGTTACCGACCTAAATCACAAAAGCAGGAAGATACTTGGTGACAGCTTCTACTTCTTCTACTTGCAAATCTTGTTAGGACAAAAAGCCTATTTTCGAACTCTGAGCTGCTATAGAATTCACTTTCGGAGATTACTAATCCTCACTTTTTTGTTGCTTGCTTTCGCCATCCACCAGAATGTCAAAGTACTTGTTAGCATGACCAATTTTTTTTGGTATTTCAGTTCTTTGAAAAAATTATGTTCCATAAAAATATGTTTTCTATAAAATTCGCTCCACCCGACCCGGAATTTCTGTAACTCATATTTTCCTCCCACTTAATTGACTTTTTCTCATTTTATTCCTCATCCATTCTCATTTTCAGATGTCTTTCATAATTTCCGTCAAATAACCGCCATTCATTAAATAGAAGACTTCTCTATCCTTTCCCATATCTTCTATCTGTGTTTTCTTCCTCAGTGTTCATTATTATCGATTCTTACTGTGTGTGACGTGACGTCGGATGAACACTCCGGAAACCGGTGACGTGTGAGACAGTGGGCATGTATCCATTGCCATTCACCCAACTCTTCTTCTCCTTTTTGTTCTTCTTCGGCACTCGGGATGAGTAAAGAAGGCTTGAAGGAGAAGGAGAAGAAGAAAACTTTGATCTTACACGTCTTTTAATATACATTTTCTAGTACCTCACAAGTTCTCATCACTTTTCCTTTTTTTTTCTTCACTAGTACTACTATGAAAAATTCGGTCTAGTGTTTTTATTCGGAGAGACCATTTTGATCAGGAGGAAGTTCTGAATTTTCGAAAAGTTTCTTCGAGGATCGTGAGTTTATGCTACAACATTGCCCTAACTATCAAAAATATAAATGTTTCTGACCGATTTTTTTTTGATTATTGTAATAGGTATCAAAAATAGATAATTGATGAAATATTGTAGACATTATGACAACGATTCCGGGGTCAATGCTAACCATCTCGATCTGATCAAAAATGATGAAAATCTTACTTTAAAATATGTATTTTTCCTTCTCTTGTGCAATTTAGCCGTAACATCACTGTAATGTCGATAAGAATTGAAATATATATTTTTAGTAAATAAAAAATCCAAATTTCTTTAAAATTCAAATTGATTAGCCTCTTCCAAAATCTGCTTTCCAAAAATCAATTATCAAATTCAACTTTTCAAAATCTGAAAGTTTCTTCGGAATTCAATTTTTAAGAATACTGAATTTTTTTGTTAAACCTTCTTTTCCCAGAAAAACTATTTTGATCCGAAAATAGTTTTAGTTCGAAATAATCAGCTAGATCCATTTTATCTTTTTATCTCAACCCTCTTGACAATTTTCATGAAATTCTTCAAAACATTTCAGATGACTTTTCTGGAACTTTTCAATTACAATACATATTTTGTTCCTTTTGAAACAAATTTTCGAACTTTACTCAGTTTCCAGATAATGCATTTTCCATGTCATTCAATCTCATCTGGGTCCTACATTGCTCACAAAAAAAGACGAAAGTGCATTTACGAACCTTCACCAAACAAAAAAAGAGATGGTAATGAGTAGCAACAACTTTTTCAAAGAGTTGTTCTTGCGAATGAATTCAATTGGTCACTGCACTGATTCACCATACTTGTTTTGATGGATACGATGCTTCAAAGCGTGTCAAATTCGATATTTTTTTGGCGGCGCATCTCACCTAGTTTTTTTCTTTTCAAAAGCCTTGTGACAATAATGAGTTCATATAATTCATTAGATTATGTGAATTAGAAAAAAACTAGAAAACAATATCTATTTTTAGATTTGGTTATTATTGCCATTTCTAATAACTTGGTAATTGAAAAAGTCTGGTACAAGCCTCAAATCTTGATCACTTTTTGCTGTACTTTGCTTTTATTGGTAATTTATTCTTTTGAGTTGTTTTCCTATTCTGGTGCATGAAATATTTCTGAGAGTTCTGAACTTTTTTCTCTGAATTCGTGTGTTAATTCTTATCTAACTGCCCAAAGTTCCTGTTTCCGATCTCAAAAATCTTTTTTTT